ACACTTTTGCTTACAGAATTTTGTAAATTAATTTGCCACCGGTAACTCACGCAAAGATTAGAATCTGGCAACAATGAATATATTTCCTAGGCTCCATTTAATTCAAGAAATAGTAACCCAATGTTTTATTGAACGATGCAGAAAGGTGAATTGTTGATAGAGAAATCCAATCGAGGCACCTGTTATCACTAGAATACGAATTTCATGCATATACATATAGTCTATCGCATTAAGATAAGTAAGAAAAGAAGCAATTCCTAGATTTGTTCTTGTTTGTCTGTGGAAAATACTTCATAAAATGTCAATTTACATATAAAAGTCCACCGTTTAGTTATAACGAGTGACAATACTCGCCCTGAAGCAAAACTGTTCCACCATTTCCACTGGGGATGTTCGTCATGGTACAGCTGAAGGAACATCCAGAAATCTGGAAGAAAGTCGATTCTTCTTCGAGAAAGTATCTATCGAGGAAAGGGTGGAGCGCGCAGCATCAGGAATTCGAGTATACGACCATGGCCCAGAAAAACGTAGGCTCACGTGGCCAAGTGTTTCCACACGCGTCCTCGCGGTATACGTTGTCCTCTGGAATCCCGACTTGTGCAATTCCATCGAAGCTCGGCTAAGAACGTCTATCCGTATCGATTTTCGAATACTAAATGCGACGATCAGACGTTGACAAATCTGTCGTATGTGACAAACGACGATAGGCAGATAGCCATTCGTTTAAAAATGGGGAAATGTCATACTGCGAACTCTTACTGTACTTGTTTAGATTTCTTTGGTATTAGCATATACATATGTATAGTGCATACGTACAGCTTTAGAAATTCGGTTGATAAAATTTTTTAAAGTAAAGTACCTACATAATATGTGACTAGTCCGTTGCAAACTTATACGCGTTCTACGTAACTATTTCAACATTGAGACTTTTGTACACTAATAGGGTCACGGTTGTTAGAGATTCATTATAGTAGCTATGAGGTATTCGACGATAAGGAGATTACCCCATACCCCCGTGATACGATGGTACGGGCACAGGATGGGTGCGCAGATTAAGTAATCTAACCGCGAATTAGTTCGGGCTGATTCGGTCTGACTGCGTGCGGTCGTTATCTACTTGCGCGTCTGACCAAATAACGGTAGTGCTTGTGTCACTGATCGAGGGGGGTGATATTTGTTCTGGTCTCGATACATTAATGGACAGAAAGTGAACCAAGCTTAATTGTCTATGAACGTACCACCAAGGAATCAAAGTGGTCGATATTTTGTCACGCGTGGATATACCGTGACTCACAAGTTTCTTCACGGATGACTGTCCCTTCTAGTTGACGAAATCATTTACCAAAATGCGAATTTTCTTTGAAAATTAGTAAACTACTTTGTTTAAACAATTAGTCGACTTGAATGAATGGATCGCCCGATTCTCAGAGGATCGAACGATAAAGGACAATGAATATTCATGAGCAGCTAATTCGATACGAAACATTTCTCCCTGTTTTATTCGACTCGAGGGAGAGATGCGGTGTTCCCCACCTCCGTGTCTACTCGTCGAATTCTTGGTCGTTAATTATCGCGGTCTGTCATACACCCGTGTGCGTTGCTTTCGTCGATGGACCGTGTACGCTACCATCTTTATACTTTATACCCACTGAGGAAGTGGTTCGCATGGAATCTGTGACGGAGTTCTGATAATCGTCGGGTAATTTCACGATATGGGACAGAAGAATACGATCCATAGAGACATCTGTGTATAATACATCTAATTTCGTTTGAAAATCACAACATACAGAGTCTCTTTCATTTCGCCAGTAATCATAGAAAATATTCGATCCAAAGGAAAGTTCAATCGTTTCTCCGTCTGTATGTAGATATCTAATTCACAAGGAAGAACGTTCAGTACAAAGGGCGTTGCAGTTTGAAAAAACGATGTACACGATTGTACAGGATAACAGCCATTACAGGTGAGATTCAAACAGGAAGCCTTGGCGCGAGTCAAGAGACACAAGAACGACTAGAACTTTCCCCTGGAAGTCAACAATTAATAGACATGTTGCGCTTATGTTTAATTGATGTTCTCATAAAACGATCGACAAAAGATTACAAACGTCCACACTACCGTTTAATGATCAGAAATCGATCGATGTGTACGGTGGCTTTCGCCACCGATCGATCCTTCCCCTTTTGCATGAACCACAAGCTAAAGAGATTCTCCACGATTCATAGAAACGTCTTTTAGCGTGTCCGCAGCAGCTTTCTTCCGCTTAGAGAGAGAGAGAGAGGGGGGGGGGGGGGGGGGGGGGAGGGGAGGATCGATCCAGCTGGTTGGAAGTTGTAACCCCCATGGAACTTCGTGAAAGCGATCATCGATCAGCCGAATCCGCGACCTTTGCATCGAGATCCGTATCGGTCCTCGACACCGTGTTCCCAAGGATCTATCGTGATCGCGTTACGCAACCATGCAAACGTGGTGACTTTCGCAATCGCACAGCTGATCCAGTCGACAACCCCATTTCGTCCGGAGAGTGCCACGTTTTCGCGACTAGGGGAAACGGAATCGTGCGTCGACGTGCGAAAGTTACCTTCCGGGATAGTTTCCAGGCGCCACACAAAATGGAATCCAGAATCGACATTTACCAGCTTATGTAGCTCTAACAATGGGTAATTTGTTAAATTTATAATTTTATTGAACTACAAGCGGCGGAATAAATGAATTTTTGATCAATTTTACAGATTTTCCATTTTGATCACGTAATCGTAGGTAACTGACGACGATATTAGACAATATCTCAATGAAAGTCTTAATTTTTAGAAGATTTTTTTTCAATTTTCGAACGAGATCGACAACACGAAGGTTGCCTAGAGAAACCATTACACGTTATTATTATTTATGTGCCTTTGGTGCACATGTACAAGACGGGAAATGCGCACTTTTTTTTTTCGAGCGTGTGCTACATCAAACCGAACAGGTGATAAGAATTGTTTTGACATAATCCACGAATCTGTACGATCCTGTTAAAATCGCAGATGTGTCAAATGTGTCTTTATGGGTGTCCTAAGGACAAATCGTATCTTCATTAACATGTGTCAAACAGATGAAATACGTCTGCGCATAAATCAAATTACTGCCCAGGCACAAAAGCATCGACAGAGACCACCGGTTTAGTATTCACGGTAGAAAAATCGCTAATTATGGAGATTGAATTATGTACATATCTGACGTAAATATCGGAATATTTATTATATTCTTATAAAGTTCCCCTGAGGCCAGACATCGAATGTGTATTCTCGCTTTAATATTTTCGAACCAATGAAAAAACCAGAACCTCATCCTTTACAAACTTTGCTATCCATACATACTATATTATCCATGTTGCTTCCACGTGGACCGAGAATTCACAAAATGTTCCAAAAGATCTGAAAAATAAAAGAAAAATATTTCTTCCGGTCCTAATAAGATTCATCCCTGAAGAGATTAAACGCCCTGTATATTCAGACCTAGAATTCTCCTTACAACTTACTATTCTTTTCCAAAATTCAAATAATTTCATTTTCTCGATCTTGTGAGCCAAAACAATCTCCCTGGACCAACAATAAGGAGTTCATGTTTGGGTTTCACTGACCACGGTGAAAATGTCTACAAAGATCGTGATTGCTCGAGGAGAAGGATTGTATGCACGGCCTTGAGCCACTCACAAAGTCAGAATCCCCTGTGCCTAAGGAACAGCGCGTCTCTTCTTTTCGCCAACGTTGAACGGCCTGGCCGGTTGTACATACATACATACATGCATACATACATACAAACAATATCCCCCCGATGCGATCGCGCCATTGCTTGGCTAAGCACTCGAACGGGTTGCCCAATGAGCCAGCAAGCGAAAAGAAAGCCGTTTCCCTTACGTAACTAAACCACACACGGCCGCTGCTCCGCGTCTTTCTAAACCGTGTGTACCTGTACATGCTGCGATACGTACTATCCAACGGCACCTCGTGCAAGACACTCGATAGGTAGTTGGTCTCTCGGTTTTTAGGGTGTACTAATCGCGGTTCCATGATCTATCGGTGTTACTCTCTCGAAAAATCAGTGAACAGAATCCAGGTGAGTGGCTGGGTTTGACCACTTGTTGATACGTACGCCTATATTCAGATATTAGTATCGAAAATTGTAAATTTGCATCAACTTCCGCAGTCTAGTTATACCACCAATAGCTGGGCTTAGCACGCAAACGTTTCGATTGTTTTTACTGACTCGTCTCGTTGGACGGGGACCATAGTTCGTTATCCTCGGTGTTACCTCTCGGTTTTAATTCTTTCTTCTCCCACTTGGTGACCCATCGTGATGCAACGGCAACCTCGATCAGCATGGACGCGACGCGCGGTCGTCGAGAAGCTCGATCATTACTTGACCCTGATTCTTCCGTGACTCGAGTGCCAATCGATCCTCGCGCACTCCCATCACCCCCTTCCAAATACGACCTATGTAACAGCTTCGAGATCTATGTATGTGTATTGCAAGCTTCTTGTGGCGACGTTGTCGGGGAATCACTTGTCGCGATTCGATTATAATTGCTACCAAATACGATTCGGAATTGTCGAGATAAACTGTTCTGTGACAAAGGCAGCCGCCTGTCTTCCGCTGAATTTTTACCGTATTTGGGAATGCAAAAGCGATTCAATTAGTATTCAATTAGTTCTCTTGCGCTTAATTCACGCTGATTTACATCACATCGAGTTATTCTCTGTGAGAACGTTCGTTGTTTATTCCTCCGGACGTTTTTTTGTGTCCTTTTTTTCTTTGCTTCCAGCTGGAACGATTCGAAATAAAATACCTGAAAATCTTGTATTTTCCAGTTACATATATGTATGTTTCATTAATTTTCTTATTCGTCCGATTTATCTCTTGTATTCTAATGGGAATTATCCTGTAAGATAAATAAAAAAATAAGTACCCCGAATAGTTTCGATCACGTGACGAACCAACCGTTCCCCTTTTCCCGTTTCAGTGACGGAACAGCAGGCGGTGGCGGTCTGGTGAACGTGAACGCTCTAGGAACGATGCAGACCAATTCGGACAGCACCCTGGACATGACGATGACGTCGAGCACGGTACTGGCCACGCCGGGTCTGAACAACGCCGCGTGGAACCGGCAGCAGGCGGTCAGCGTCAGGCACGCATTCAAGACTTACGGCAGCAGCAAGAACCCGAATCATGTTATACAAAATCTGAGCATGACCGTGGCGAAGGGGTCCATGTGAGTAACAAAACCTTTCCGCGTCATCTATAATCTATATATGTATAGGTTACATTCCAAAAAGATTCGATTAGGTATTTAAATAACGTTAAAAAATTTCTCGTAAAATTAACCCTCGAATGGTAAGGTGGATGGAAACATTTAAGGGTGTACTTGGTAAAGTAGAGTCGGACCCACCATTCTTCATTATTATATCTATGTACATACAATAATATACATATGTAGATACAACGATTTTTCCCTATTTTATTATTATTCTAGTTTTGATTTGTTTTTGAAAAGACGTACTACACTATGTGCAATCCGACGTCAATTAATCCGTGAATCTTTAAATAATAAAATGTTGTTCACAACCCCCGAGATTCGAACGATCGATTAAAGGGAAACGAAAGGTGGTTCTCTTAGAAAGCCCTGATGAACAGGATCATCCGTGGATCTCGTGACGATCTCTAATAAATATGTGCTTTGTACAGTTCCCTTTAAAAAAATAGAAAAACATTCGTGCCTCAGGATCGGATCAGCGATAAATTGGACAAACAAACTGTGCCGGAGTTTCACAAAGAAACGAGAACGAAGCAACGAAATTTCCGGCAGGAAACAAATTGTAGAACGTAATTGTTTTTCATTACATAATTACGTATTACGTTGCATTATCTTGGCCACTGTAACAAGTACCACGTATATTTCATGCTAAACAGCGAACGTGTAATGCGTGTACACACGCAATACATGAACAAACGTGTCTGGGAAATTGCTGATTTCGTTGGCAGATAGAGAGAGCGTGTACGCATCGCGTGAAATGATAGTCGTTCAGTCAGGGTAATTTGGATCCTTTGAGGACATCGGCGAGGTCTCACGAACATTAGTCAGAAAAACCATGAAATAGAAGGATCGAGAAATCAATCAACTCCATTAAGATCGAGTATAGTTCATTTTCTTTATTTAGTCGTAATTACAGAAAATAATTATACAGGTACATTCTAATTAACACTTATACGGAGTAATTCCAATGAAATTGATTTCGACGCTGGCAGACGTTTAACGTAGCCTTCGAACTTTTCAGCGTCTCTCTCGAAGGGATTTCGAATTAAGAAATTAAAACATAGAGGCAAACGGTCAAAGTGTTTTTTCTCTCGTTAGTTACGGACTGCTAGGCGCCAGCGGATGCGGCAAAACCACTCTTCTCTCGTGCATCGTCGGTCGAAGACGATTGAACTCCGGCGAGATTTGGGTGCTGGGTGGCAAACCAGGCACGAAAGGGTCCGGTGTTCCCGGTAAAAGGGTCGGTTACATGCCCCAGGAGATCGCCCTTTACGGAGAGTTCACGATTCGAGAGACAATGATGTACTTCGGATGGATATTCGGGATGTGCACCGCCGAGATCGTGGACAGATTGCGATTTCTGCTCCAATTCCTGGATCTGCCCTCACAGAATCGACTGGTGAAGAATCTCAGGTCAGTTCTATCTCTTTGTACAGATTTTTCCATTGAAGACGAGAACCACTTTGATATCACTTGTTCAGTTCTACTGCACAGTGTGGCAGATTTTCCCAATCCAGCTAAATTCAATTAAAAAACAAACAAAAAACGTTGAAATATATATGTACATATATGTAGATATTTTTTTTTTTATGGTTCATATGAATGGACTCGATGGTCCAGAATTATGAACATTAATTTTTATAGAGATGGAGACATAAAAACACTTGATAAATTTAGTTTAGCTAGATTTCGAAAATAATCCTACTGTGCCCTGGCCAGTTGCGACATTGTAACAGCAAGAGGGCTTGCGAAATCCTCGTTCATTCATTAACGATGAAAACTCTCTTTTGCTTACAGCGGTGGTCAACAGCGACGCGTGTCCTTCGCTGTTGCCCTGATGCATGATCCAGAGCTGTTGATCCTCGACGAGCCGACTGTTGGTGTCGATCCGTTGCTGCGACAAAGGTGAAGCACTAATAATTCGAACGCAATCTACGTAGAAGCTTAAGTATATTCCCACAACCAAATCTAATAAAAGTATCTTATAACGGCGACTCTGATGAACTTCATTTTAATTTATTAAAATCGCGACGATTCTCTATGAATTCTCTATTGTCTATGAAAGTTCTTGAACGAAGGCCAAGGTAGTCGTTGGTCGTTGAATCGTGAAAAATTTCGATCGAAATATCGAACGACGGCAAGTAAATTGCGCGTGACAACGGACACCCGAGCGTTCCATGGTAGATAACGCTTCTATTGTAAGTGAAACAGCTCGGTAGGAACCGACTGCGGAAGAAAAAAAATCGGGAATAAAGGTGGCCCGACTATTTTGAAAGATAAACGAGCTTTTGTTATCGACGAACCGGTTCACGGACACGGAATGATCGTATTAACCCCCGTGCTATTAGAGACCATAACAGCTTAAGTTTCCATCGGTCTCTGCAGACACATTGAACGAACAATTTCTATCTTAACTAAGAAACAGACCCCCTTGAGATCCATTTAAATTTCACGACACAGAAAATACTGTCTATACACAAGGTGTCCAGTAAATTCTAATCAAATCGAACAAGACTTCTAGAATTACTCAAGGAATGTTGGAAAATTGGAAGTTCTAAATTTGTATGTGTCGACAAGAACTTGAAAGAATAGTTATTGTTTTCTAGATTGAATTTTCTTTATACGTATTATCGTGAATTTGTATTCTTTCGACCAATGAGACGCACGTTGATTGATTGCAGGAATTTTTTTTGAAAAATCGAGTCAGAATAGTTAAGAACTGGGGCAACAATTTGACAAATGCTTATTTAACCTCATTAACCGTTTAAAACTCAGGATGACGTCTATTGAATAGTGTAGCTTTTCACTACATACGTACTATTCCAAAAAAAATTCTGCTCAACTCTGGTGAAAAGTCCGTTACTTTAGCATGTAGTATCCCCGGAACGGTTTCGTATAAATGAAACTCGTATTATGAAATTATGAGACCGAACGGCCGCGGCCGCGGCCGCGGCCGCCGCCACTTTTCAATTACATAGAAAGGAATGCTGAAAAGCGTGATGTGGTGGACCAGCTACGTTTCACATGGCATACGTATGTCCTGTGTATGTATACATATACAATGGACTCACGTGTTCGTTCATATATTATACTTTCGAAATTGCAATCTTAATTGTGTAATAAATTTGAATGAACTTTCTTTTTGCATATCCTCGTGATTTTGACTTTTATCATGCTTTAAAAAATAATACATTTTTCGAATTTTCATGATAAATTTTTCTTAATTTTCAAAATAAGATTCCTAGTTTAGGGCGTAATCTGGTGAAATAAATGTGACAGCCTTCCATGAACTGATTTCTGAGTCACTGTACATCCACATAGGTACAATATAGTCGTATATAATGTATAATCCGCGATTTACATTTTCATTTATCGGCCACAATTCACGATACTCGATAATATTTTCCTTCGATGTCTCGACGATCTTCGCTTCCAGTCTAATGATGCAAGTAATTTACAATGGACTCTTCGCTTTCGAATCGAGGAAAGAGGCGCGTGTTATCTTCGACCAAGGCGGTCCGTGGAAAACGGCTAGGAACGTAGTACACATACATATAGGTACATTGTCTTAACCTACTTCAACCGTGACGTGTGGCCTCCGGGAATTTCGCAAGCGACAATACGCCGCGTATTACGAGCTTAATGACCTACCCGGGTACCACTGATCGGAAAAATCTGGCTGGCTTACTCGTGGATGATTGTACGCAATTATGCAGTTGCTGGAAACGATACGACCCGCGGTCCGTGAAGCAAAGCCCCTTCACAAGTGTGCCGAGAGTGGCCCAGTGCGCGGTATCGTACAATTTTTCATCTGCTAGAACATATAATAATTCCCCACTAACTGGTGACCGAACTGTGTAACATCTACCTTCGTAAATTTAGGAGAAAATTTATAAAGGAATTAGATCGATCGAGCAGCCCCTAAGTCCAAAGTAGTAGTCGATCTACTCGATTTATTCCATCGAAAACAACGAATAATGAAGATCGAAGAAGATCTCCAGGAAATTTTTCCTGGAAAGTCAAACGACGACAAGAGGAGGGCTAATTAGCCCCGAGAAAGTTTCGCAACGCGATTATGCTCGTTTCGAAGCGAACAGAACAACCAGAGCCGCTTCCCCACGGATCACTAAGTGTGTGTGTACATGTACGTACATATGTATGTATCGCGCCTCGGTTTACGAGCGCTCTTGTTACACGTCAGTTTCTGTAAAATTGAAGTTTCTGCGTGCCAACGACAGTACCGGGAGGAAAATTCATGGCTTTCGCGGCTCGTTCGCTCGGTCACTTTCTCGATAACGCCCTCGGTTGGTCAGGCGGATGGAACCTAGGCCGTTCCGAACTTATTCTAACGAATCGGCTAACATTTCCCGATTTCTTTCCGGTGTCAATAAATACATGTATGTATGTATGTATGTATGTATGTATGTATGTATGTATGTATGTATGTATGTATGTATGTAGATCGTTCGGAAACACTTATAAATCTAATTATATCTTTTAGAAACAAGATCTCGAAAAGAATAATCGAAAAAATGTTGCTCTGTCCACCATATTGGATGAGCTTTCGGGCGGGAAAACTTAACCACGCGCGTTTACTGTTACAGCATCTGGAACCATTTGGTCCAAATCACCAAAGATGGCAACAAAACCGTCATAATCACCACTCACTACATCGAGGAAGCCCGACAGGCGCACACGGTACGATAAAAACTTGCGTAATTCCGAGTGTTACAAGAATATTCGGAGGGGGGCTGCCATATTGGCGCGCGTACGCACGAGAACGAGGATACCACCGGGAATGCAATACCGGATAACGATTACATATTAACATTGCATAACCACCGTTTCCTTTTCTTGTATTCGAACAAACAGGTCGGCGGAGAACAAACAGAGAAAGAAAGAAAATAGGCAAAACTACGGCACAATTGATTATTATCAATAGACTACGGATGTTTATACAGATATCGATTATTTTTGTAGACTAGTTTATGGAAATTGGATTTTAAGAAGAATTTGTTCTCTAACGTTCTAGGTAACCTAAAAACTGCATTAATTTTCGTTATACCTGGTACGTCTTACGATTAGAGTAAGGTACATACTGAGTTTCGAGTAGGTAATCGTGCATGCTATAAATGCATAAAATCCGCAGTGTAAACGTTCAGTTTTTCCATTCGATATGCAGTACGTTAATATGTATGTCTGCTAAATGATTATTATTAGAAGGATCTACAGTGGCTGCCAAAAGTTTCCGACGACGTTTTTCCGTGACGGTGTTCCCCTTCCAGAAAACTGAAAAACACCTCGCGACGCGTCTGAAAAACTCGATATGAAACAGCTGTCAACAAGTATACATGATTATATCGGTTTAAGCTTAACGGGATCATCTGTGATTGATCGTCCTCGAAAAAAAAGTCTGCCGCGCGGTTCTGTGTAACCGAAAAAAAAAGTTCTGCGTAACTTTGAACAGAAAAGGAAACTTAATTACTCCCATCGTGCAGCAGAAATCTACGCGAGGTGCTACATTTACGAAACGTGTCAGAATCGAGAAAAAAAGTATAAGCGGAACTCGTTTATGTGAAATGCTTCGAATGAAAAAAGAATGAAAGAAAAATGTAAATCGTCTATCGACAGATCGGGTTGATGAGGAGTGGACGTTTATTGGCGGAGGAGTCTCCCAGGGCCCTTCTTCAGATGTACAACTGTGCGTCCCTGGAAGAAGTTTTCCTGAAATTATCCAGGAAACAGGGACAATACGCTCAGCCGCCGGCAGAATTGAACATTTCTAATAACATTAGTTTGGTACGAAGCAATAATAAGGCAGTAAATAACCAACAGGTAAGAGTAACTGAGCCGAATGATTAATTCGAGATACGTGTGATACAGGCTTCTCTGAATTGGGGCAAGAAGAACGAACCAGTGTACGTAACGGAGGAATCAGGAGTCGTGGGCCTGAACTTCCATCAGAGCAAGGAGGTTCTCATTCACGATTCGACGAACGGCGTTGGAAACCACTATGATGTAAATGGGAAAAGTTTTTATACATATGAACTTGTCTCGTGAAATTTAGCCAGGTACATTTCATTGTCTATTTTTGTCTCGGCACAGCTGAACGGAAAACCGCTAACAGGCAGCAAGAACTCGACGTTGGAGTGCGACGACTGCGGAAACTTCACGGACTGCTATAAGCTAACGAGTACAGGAAAAATGAGGGCGCTCTTGCAGAAGAACTTCCTCCGTATGTGGAGGAACGTCGGGTGGGTTACGAAGAAATTTTATTCTACCTTCTTCAGAATTAGAACGATAGAAAAACAGTCGGTTAAAAAATAACCCTTTTCCTCCTCTCTACAGAGTAATGTTGTTCATCTTCGCCCTGCCAGTGATGCAAGTGATCCTCTTCTGTCTGGCGATCGGTAGGGATCCAACGGGGCTAAAATTGGCGATAGTAAATCACGAGATGTTCTACGAGAATATGTCCTGTCCGGTGTCGGAGAACTGTGAGTTCACCCACCTAAGTTGTCGGTACCTGAACTTCTTGGACAACGAGACGATGATCAAGGTAACGCCAGAAAGTTTCATCGATTACGATTATCGTTCGTGAACATTATAGAGGATCTCGTATTTATTTATTTTATTTTTCAGGAGTATTATCGAGATCCCGACTCAGCGACGGACGCCGTGCATCGGGGGGATGCCTGGGGGATGTTGTACTTTACCGAGAACTTCACAGACGCCCTCGTCGCCAGAATGGCCCTGGGGAGGGAGGCAGACGACGAGACTTTAGACCAGAGCGAGATCAGGGTCAGGCTCGACATGTCCAGTGAGTCTGATTATTTCGAATGTTCACTCTTATACATACATACAGTACACGATTAGCTATAATATAATACACTGTTATTCAGGAATAGAAATTTGAAATTCCTATTTTTATATGTATCATATATTATTATTTATACCATATGAATTTATTACTAGACTGCGGAATATACATATATGCATTCATAGCATATTGTATGAGTGTATGAAATATGATAAATGATAAAGCTAACATTAGATCTGATATATTTTCTGTTTTATTGTAGTCATAGTAAGATCCTTACAAATCACTTTGAAGAAATATGTATGTCCGTTGCATAAAGTTCCGCAGTCTAATTATTATTACTCGATCTGAAAGAAATGTTGACGCAAACTTGTCTGTCGTCATTTTTGTACATCGAACGATCGTACTCGACTTATAATTCAATCTCCGTCCGAAATCGATCATTGCAGATCAGCAGATAGGACTGATGCTAGCGAGGAACCTCCAATATTCCTACAGAGACTTTGCGAAAAATCTTTTGTCGGCGTGCGATCAGAATACCAAATTGGCGGACGTGCCGATCCAGTTCAACGATCCGATATACGGCACGAACGAGCCCAGTTTCACCGACTTTGTGGCGCCTGGAGTGATTTTGACGTGAGTTTGACATGACTATACGTACGTATACGTACGTACGTATTATTGTGTACCCATATGGGGCGGAAGAGATACATAACGCGAAGAGCTACAGATAATTCACCATAGTAACCACGAATCTCTTTTATCGAAAGAAATTTCTTCTCCTTAGCATTGTCTTCTTTCTCGCGGTGGCTCTCACATCGTCAGTCCTGATCATCGAGAGGATGGAGGGTCTGCTGGATAGAAGCTGGGTCGCTGGCGTAACGCCTGGAGAGATTCTCTTTTCCCACGTGATCACCCAGTTTGTGGTGATGTGCGGTCAAACCGCCCTTGTCCTGATCTTCATGATTCTAGTGTTCGGTGTCGAGTGCAAAGGAGACATCGGCTGGGTAATCGTGCTCACGATACTTCAAGGCCTCTGCGGCATGTGCTTCGGTGGGTAGCAAGTAGCAAAACAGATTTTCATTGTCCTCGTGTTGCAATAGCGCCAAACCGTTACACCAAGTTTCGCGTCGTTGATCGTTTCTTTAGCGGTTTTAACACCGGTGATTGCCTCGGGTCGCAGGTGCGTCCAGCAAAAACTGGATCCGTCTCTGGATCAAATCGCCCCGCCTGTGCTTCGAGAACGATTACTTACGTAATTCGTGTTGGAGCATGCACGTGAGACCCGCTTTTAGTTTTACGATTTCTCGCCGGACGTTGAACGTTGATTACGGTCTCATTCGATTACGAAGCGATTCGCGTTTCAATTCTCTCGCGGAAAAGGTTTCGAATTCAGGGATAGATTAGCGATACTATTCAATTGAGATATCGATATTTTCTATCGTTCGTTTAAATAAATGATTTTTTTTTTCATTTTTCGATTTTATTATAATAGATTTAATTTCATTTCAAGTATGAATATTGATAATATTGATATTTTATCCTTGATATACATACATACATGTGTATCGATACCAAACATTTCAATCCTACATATGTAAATATAAACTGTGACCATATATTATGTTCTTTTTTCTTTGCAGGTTTCGTGATTTCAGCGATCTGCGAACTTGAACGGAATGCGATCCAGCTGGCTCTGGGCAGTTTTTATCCTACGCTTCTATTGAGCGGTGCGTAGAAATACATATATACTTTATTAATCGAATAGGCAGCAGTTCATTGAAGAAGGAATCGAAGAATCGGTACGTTCGTTATTGGTACAGAAATCATTTGACTCGTTTCCTCGTAGGTTGCCACGATCGAGGCTGACTTAGCGTGACATTTTCCTCAGACCTAACCTAGACCTAACCCAGATAAATTGTCGTATACGAATCGCCGAAACTATCGGCCATCGCGATTAAATGTCAAGCGGTAAAAGTGAAAGTCGCACTCGCGTTCTTAATTCTCGGGATGTTCGAGCATGCAGCTTGAAATCATACGAACGTGATACCAAATGAAAATAGAGTCTTATTCCTTCTTTAATTATACTCCATCGAGTCACCGAAATACATATACTATATACATATAGACGAACAAGCAGATCAGCGGATATAGAGTAAAGTCCATGGTGCAATTTACATAACCCGTTATTTATTTATTCTATTACGAGGAATAATTAGGTACTCCGTTACGTCGTACCGAACAAATAGACCGCGGATAGTCACGAAATTTATTAATGAAAATTTTTTTTTTGAATAAATATGTAAATTTTTAACAATTGCGTTGAACGGTTTTATACAGCACAGGAAGTCATTAAATTTTTATTCTAACCATTTCTTGGTATCTATTATACTATTCAAGATATGTATATGTATCTATAGGAAAATAGGAAAACACACCTTAAACTTTAAGGGTACGTGTCCATTTGTAATGTATCCTCGTATCGTATCACCGTTGCGTATCGTCGTATCGCATTTTCATACGCAACAAGTGGATACACACCTGAAGGGGTGGTTTCACCTAAGGAAACCGAATATCAGCAAAAACGAAAAATTGCCCGATACTTCCATAGAGATCGCCTAGATATCTTTAGGGAAAGCATAGCCGCGTAGGGATAAAGTGACACATAGTAGAGGGGGTAATATACATATACATATTGAAAATGCACGACGTTAAGCTTTCGTTCGTAGTAGTATCTTGGCATGGTGTAGAACTAGTCAAGCGTCCAGTGGTGAGGATATCGTATGAACACTCAGTGCCCAGGAGCTTTCGAACACTCATCGATAGTTTACTGTATTAGTGTATACGTATAGCTCTACGTGACGTGTCAACTTGTGTCTCAACAATAGGAAATTCCCCTAAAAACGCTGCCTTCGATTAATACTTACAATAGATAAAATATAAAATACAACCGTTAACAAGATTCTCCTGATAAAATTTCAGGCGTGATTTGGCCCGTAGAAGGTATGCCAACGTTCCTACGGTACATATCCCAGGGTCTGCCGTTAACAATGGCGACAACGTCGTTGCGTTCGATGCTGACCAGGGGCTGGAGCATCTCGGAGCCGGACGTCTACAACGGTTTCATCTCGACCATCATCTGGATCGTGTTGTTCCTCACGATAAGCATAATGGTGCTCAAGTTCAAGCGTGGATAATTCAATCATCCTATTGGGAATCTATCAGTAGCCGCGCAGACGGGAACGAAAGAGAGAAAGAAAGCTAAAAAAGGGGCACACTTATTGGGCTCGTCGTCGAACTTGAGTCGTTGAACACACGAGCTTGGAAAATTCTAGAAGCGAAAAGGGGTGTCGTTTCCGTGGCTTCCTCGGCGACGATCTCGTTTAGATCATCTGTGCGTGGACCTCCGAACCATGTGATGATGATGATGATGACGATGCATCATTGTGCGGTTGATCGTGTGCTCTTTAACTTGTGAACGTTTTACTTGAACGAATGAATGTAGTCGTGTGAACAAAGTATGCGTCTGGGTGTTCCTCGGGGACTGAACTCTTTCTTCTCTTTACTTCCGTTTTTCTTCTTCTTCTTCTTCTTCTTCTTCTTCTTCTTCTTCTTCTTCTTCTTATTCTTCTTATTATTATTATTATTATTATTATTATTATTATTATTGTTTGTAGTTGAAAGTCTGTAATATATATACATATATTACCGTGTATTTCTCGGGGGGTTCTCCGTGGGAGGGTACTCGTCGTCTCGTCTCGATTACTCTCTACTTGTTCCGAGAACTACGTTAAGTACCTTGTATTTAAAGATATATGTATATAAGTATATATATATATATATATATCGTGGAGAATTACGCTTAGAATACTCAAAGTATCCTAAGTTTGTGAAGAGCATCCCGAAGCGAACCGAGGAGACGACGATTCATACTATGTATACGGTGTCTCCGTGGTGTCCACGGTGTTAAAACATCTCCCACGGACGGACGTATTTGGGATTGTGTGAGTTGTAAGTTCGCTAAGTTAACGTGTTAGTTAGTTAGAATGTAGGACAGTCTTACTTGCCCATGACTTAAGCGTATATATGAATATGTATTTAAATCGTGTGCGCGACAACCGACTCGACCGGGTTAGAAATCGCTACACAGTGGTACATAATGTCTTATTTTCTTCAAATCGGTACACAGGTCGTAATTTTCGAATAAATTTGAAGCTCTTTTTTTTTTTTTTTTTTAAATTCTTCATAATGAAATTCTCCATTCGTTGCTCGTTCACTTATATCTAACGAAACATACGGACTTTTAGAATGATCAGAAATTCAAAATGACAAAGCAAATTTTCAGGAAAATAATTTTTGAATTTTTGAATTAAATAATGAATGAAAAAAAAAGAGCTTCAAATTTACTAAAAAAAATTATGACTTATAGACTGATTTGAAAAATATAATTTATTGTGTACCAACATGACCCTCCCCGATCACGTTTCGCGCATCCAGAAAGGAGAATGATGATGTTGATGTGTATACTCGCGTGAAAAGTAAAAGAATCATCCCCGAGCGATCGTGAATTTTATAAATATAATCAACTAGCGTTCTGCACGGTTTTGTTGTAAACACGCATTTGCGGTAAGCGCGCGCGACCCACGGATTCTAGGACCCCACGGACATGTACCATATTATAGCATATAAAGAATCATAACGGTTACGTTTTATACACTTATCGATGCGATTCGCGTCGCGACGTATCTTTAGTTGAATTCTCGCGCGATATTCTGCCCCTGGATGGGACGTCCGAATAGAAATGAAGGGGACACTTAGATAAGACCCAGAAAACGGTGTGTACATTTCTATTTTCATTACGATAATTCTGTGTATAAAATTACAAAAATAAGGAAGCAAAGAAAGGTTTTACAAAAAAATATACAAAACACTTAGATATGTCGTACTACACGTGTGTTGGTCCCAGCTGTCGGAAGAACTATTCTCAATATTGTCGGCGACTGCATGTAGATGAGCTCTCCCTCGTGATCGCGAATTAGTGCCAATCTGGTTACTTAATCGACGTCAATTTGTACTTTTCCTGCTCAGCGAACCACTCGCTGTTGTTCTCCACGGCACGCTTCCAATACTCTGCGAGCCAATTGAAATTGCAATGTTAATTATGTCGTCGGCCTACGCGTGTACGGGACGGTTCGAGAGTTCAGGTACGCGGCTGACATGATACTGATAGAGAAACAACGAAGTCGCGAACGATGTGAATTCGTAATTCAATTTGAACGTACGCTGCGTCGAATGTCCTACACCTACATACTTTCCTGTATTAACTGGCCAATATTTCCGACTTTGTGATTTACCGACCACCAAAAGCATTATTCGAATCGCATAGTACAGCCTGTCGTCGGGTAATTCATGGTGCAAACAGAAATCGAAAACAGAATCTGAAGATTTTTCGCTAGAAGGCGTTTCACATATGACTTATCTCTGTACAAGCAACCGTTTGGTTGTATCCTCATTACAGTTAACATCCTGCGAAATATTATATCGGGTAATTGCGTAGTAACCTCAAACGGCTCGTCTACAAGGTGGACCACGAAAAGTGATCTGCTTAGATCTTTATTCTACTGCTAGCTGTTCGATCGAACATTTTTTTGCATTCTTAACAATCAATGTAGACGTCATAGGTACATAGAACTACATAAGCAGTAGTGTCTTAACCGTTTACGCGAGTTTATTGCAGCTGATGGACACCATTTTGAATATTGTTTTGAAGAAGGTAAATGATATTTTCTTAATGTTCCTTGGGTTTAGAAGAAAAACAATTATTTGTTACGACGTCTTAGTATCCACTAAAAGATGGGCGTGAAAAATTATAGGATTGTCTATAAAAAAAAAATCTGAAAGCTTTCCTTGAATCGTGTTACACTAGCTAAAAAAAATGTTCGATCGTACAGTTATGTAGTAGTAGAATAATCTAAGCTGATTGAAGAGGAAAACTCGTGGATACTCGAGCGACGTACATATGTACGTACCAATCAGTTCATTGATAGTGCCGTTGGTGCCGTCGTATTCCTCCGGTAAAATATAATTCGGCAGCGTCTCGTACAGCTTCAATTTGCCCCGCGCGTACACATGCACCCGTTGCTTCAATTTCCCCTTCATGAAGCCCCTGAAGATGTTCAGCACCACGTTGACGAACCTGGGCGAATTGATGAAATTCAACGCGTGTATCCTGACCGGATAGCAGTCTTGCCAGGCGTGCACCAAATTCTTGATCACGTTCAACGACAATTGAAACACGTGCTCGTACGTCATGCCACCGATGTCCAGAATCGCGGTGACCCCGTGAATGGTCATCGACTCATGATCTCTCAACGCCAGATCCAATACCATCAGGGCGGCCTGATTCGAAAACACGTGAAATCCTTATCGTTTCTCGATTGTACCTAATTCGATTTCATTACCAGGAGACATTACGTATTCTTTTGTTTCGTTGGTTGTAATTTATAAGTTCCGTTCTTCGGGAGCGTACCTTCAACATGTCCGCCATTTTGTGCCGCGACGGATTGTGCGCGGCCGCGCGTACGATCACCACCATTCTTCCCTCGTTGTCCAGCTTTCTTAGGGGCAACAGCACTCTGTGAAATCGAAGCATTATCCACAGTGGTGTTATGTAATGTATTATTAGTGGATTTGCAGATTTTCGATTCTAGAGTATAATGGATACAAACTGGATGAAATTAGAGATGTTGTAATATCTTTAATTGTAATTATCCCGCAATCCTCATGAAAATTGAAACAATTACTCTATTCAACATACTATTTCGTGAAAGTGTTATGAATAAATTCAAAAAATTCTCCTGGTAGACGTAAGTCCAAACACGACAGAATTCAGACTATTTTCAATATGTAATACATTATTCAAATCGGTACACTGATAGAGTAAAAGTTTAACATAGTTATTCACGCGTGATTCATTCTTTGTATTTACATCGCAGACGACCTTTGAGCCTGCGGGGAGAGAGGAATATCGATAACCGATTTCGAGTCGATTAGCCGACTAGATGAGCGGTTCGAAAAGTTCCGATCAAGCTGTTTGGACTTTTTCAGAAGTTCAAACTTCTTTGTTTCCGAACCCATCGCTAGCTTTCAACATCACAAATGCAATTGGAGATTTACTATAAACATCGATGACCATTTACTTCCGAACTGTAACGAATCTATCAGCCACTGATACGGTATCAGTGACAGCGTGATCTCGTGCGAGGCAGAATGTGACCAAGTACTGATCGTGACCGGTACATAGAGGAACCGCGATAACGAGAACGATAATGATTAAGATACGTTTCCCGGGTGCTACTGCATTTCTGTTTTGGCATTCGTAAATGCAAACAAACGAGGAACGTTTTATTATAGAGAGATTGGGCTTTAGGCATTACAAATTTGTTAAATTACCCGAGATCGAAGAGTTCTTGCAATTTTGGCAGACACGGATTCCTGTCGGTGTACCATTCCGGCACGGTTGCCCTCTGTTTGTAATAATTTCGCAGTTTGCTTTTCGCTTTATCCACATTGAACTTGCTGGCTCGCAAAAACCGCAGCAAAAAGAAGTCGTCTGCAAAAAAACCCATAGAAGCTTCTTTATTCGATACCGCCAAAGGGGAAAGAAAGGACACCAGAGATTCCATTTTCGAATTTATTTTAGAGCAGGATATACCAGTCGGCGCGTCTAGTTCGTCGTTCTCTACGATCCAGCGTTTAAGTTCCGCAATTTTAATCGGTCTGTCTTTGTCCGTCTCGTTCAAATATGCCGCCGCGTACTCCTTCTCTTCCGGCGACATCGTACAAATGTATTCTTTCAACATAACCATGGTCCATGGAGACTCCGCCGACTTCCAGCCACTCATCATCGTCTGTCAATGTCACGCGCAAAAGGTTCAATTCTTCTGTCGCATTTGTTTCAATTCTCACGACGTTACGACGAAAACTGTCGACAAAGACCTGCGGAATGCTGCGGAATGAACAACTACGCGGTCTTATGTATAGAAATGAAGCGATAACGAAGGACAGAAGCGGCGCTGGAGTAACGTCTCTCTTGCTCGCACATCGCAAAGGGAGGGGAGTAAGCTGTCAAAATACAGCCGTAAGCGAATCCTGACCAATAACCCCCCATTAGAAAGAAACTTATGAAAGCATTATGAAGCTTTGAAGATCGTACCACAGACGAGGTGAGACGAGGTACAGGAGTAGACATTTTATCCAATGTATTTCTTCGACTCACTTTTCTGTCGCTTTAGTGTCACTACCTACCGCAAATTCACCGTTCTCGTAACGGAGAGGGCGTTAAAATCACAGCTTTTAAGGTATCTGTCCTACAGTTTAGGTGGGCCACCAACTCCCATAATGTGGAAAGTCTATTCTTATACCTCGTCGGTGCTTTTAAAGAATAGAATGTACGATTATTTACATTTACATACATTAATATTTATAAATTGAATAACGTTGTTACGAGAAAATAATAAGATCAATATACGTATATGTATGTATGAAACAGATGAGAGAAAGTTCCAACTTCCAAAACAAAATCTGTTCATTCGCACATTTCACACTCAAATTTGTGGGAAACAATAAGTACGTCAATTCAGTAAAATGTAAATGAATGTATTTATCCTTGAATCTGTCGCGCCAACGTTCGACACACGATTGACCGGATAAAATACACAGGTTGTTATACCCGACACAACAGCGCGACCGGTGGAATGTTAAAAACAAAAGGAACAAATATAATAGAAGGTGAAGAATATTCAAAATGTTGTATTCTATTTCGTGGAAATAGATACTGGAGAGGGAAACAAACCCACTCTCATCCAACGGCCAACACACGACTTATTGAAGATCGCCGAAGCCATAGAGACATGTCTATGGCCGAAGCAAGCGGCGATCGTGACATCGTGACCCGTCGAAGGCGGCCACCGCCGTCAGTGATACACCGTTTAGTTCACTTTGGACAGCTCTTACACCATTATACGGATAGCTTTCGTTTAGATAAAGCACTCGATTTGTAGCTGAAAGAACGTAGATTAATCGCCTGCCATTGACAATAACCATAAACGACCGGATTAATGTTAAAATCGCATTTAATCGCGGAGTACCACTATTTTTTGACCGGTGGCGCCATCCGTGGAGAATCGCTGAAACTGCTAGCCAATTATATGGCTACCAGTTTCAGCGGTTCGCCACGGATGGCGCCACCGGTCAAACAAATAGTGGTACTCCGCGATTAAATGCGATTTTAACAGTGTTCTGGTTGTTTATTGTTATTTTCAATGACAGGAGATTAATCTACGTTCTTTCAGCTACACGTCGAGTGCTTGGTCAAACTAATGCTGTCCATATAACGCCGTGAGACCAGTCCAAATATGAAGTAAACGAGGAGTGCTTGACGGGGCCCAGTGACCTGACGGCATACATATATACATACATATTATATATATGTGTATCAAGTATAGAAAAATGGCATCCGAGGTACGTAAACATAACTTATTTTATAAACTGTGTGTCGTTATGTTTAATGATTTTTTATCGATGGTATTAAGTCTTCATGGAATCAGGTATTTCTAATGAAAAAAGTGAACAGTATAACAATCAAACAGTACTTTTAGTTTTCTAGTTAAGCTAAATCGACGTCAAGAGCCGTGTGTCATGGGACGTAGTCGTACACCATCCCCATTAAGGAGAAGAGATCGATCGCGAGATCGCGACCGTGAAAGAGAACGCGATAGAGATCGCAGAAGAAGACGGTCTCGTGAGAGACGAAGAAGGTACAGCCTTGTATTTTCTGTGCTATCGTAAAATGTGTGAGAAATTCCGTTCGAAATTTACAATAATTGGAAAGAGAGCGTGAACGAGATCGAGAAAGGCATAGACGTTCGTATAGTAGATCCAGATCCAGAGATAGACCCAAACCTAAGCAAAAGCCTACTGCAACAGAACGTCCCATTGTGACAGGTAAATTCATGTCCTAACAACAATGCTGTTACAATGGATCGTGAATGAGCTTCTTTAAACAAATATCTTACAGAGGCTGATCTTCAAGGAAAAACACCCGAAGAACAGGAAATGATGAGAATAATGGGTTTTTGTGGTTTTGATAGTACCAAGGGTAAAAAGGTCGATGGAAATGATGTAGGCGCTGTCCATGTCATCTTAAAAAGAAAATATAGGCAATACATGAATCGAAAAGGAGGATTCAATAGACCATTGGACTTTGTGGCATAAAGCATTTGTTTTGTGCATGCAAATTTATCAGAAAATTAGCGAAAACAAACCAACATGTGGATACTTAAGGAACCCTGTTTCGTGAGATTAATAATAATTGTAATAGTAAATGCACTAAAAATGATGAAAAGATCGTGTCAGAGGTATTTCAAGGACAAAAAATCTTTGAAAAATCATATGAATTCATTTATATTACATATACAAGAGCAATTCAATTTTCTATTCTACGTCGTTTCTTCGATGGCGTCGTGTCATCGGCGGCAGTGCTGCTTGACTTATCCGTGTTCAAGCTACGGATTTCATTTTCTGTAGCTTCAGAATACGATGGTGTAAGCTGTTAAACGAATGAAGAAATTTCTACAGTAAAATTATTCTGTTCTCAAAAAACTATAAGAAACGTGAATGAAATGCAATATGTGTAACATTATAAGTAATAATGAAAATATTATTACTTGGCTCACGTCCATTTTCTCAATACCTTCCACCAATTGTGGATTCTTGATTCTAAAGTCGCGCGTCACACTACGTTTCATGTAGTTCTCCAACGGTATCTATTATAAATATGTACAAAAGAGTGGCAGTGTTAATAGCCAATTAGGAAGAATTAATTTGCACTGCTTTGTATGTTATATATGTATGTATATTACTTACGCCAGTTCTTTTACCAAGTAATAATACTTCCTTGTTGAATTGCTCGATCTCGTAAACCACGCGCGGTATTATTTTAGTTTCCCTTAAAATTTTGTTTCTCTGCGCATAGGAGTCTGACTTGGAATTTAAATTGTTCTGATTTTCCTTTGGAAGATACAACATTAGGTAAAACAACAGGTTGTACACCGACGTAAACATACCTAACGTTGAGAGCTACTGTAATTACCTCAACGTGCGTGACTAGGTTGTAAAAGGCAGATTTTAATGGTTTACCAGCTAACTGTACCACTTGAATGAATCTATAATATACATACCAAATAGTTCGAGATTTACGGTCGTACACGGTATGCTCTACGTATTCAATACATACTTGACTGTTTGAAATGCTGCATTTTGACTGTTTGACTTTCCATAGAAATATTTTGTAAGGTTTCCAAGCAAATGATACAAACATTGTAAGTTCCTGAACGTAGTGTCCGTACACGGGCCTGGTTCTATCGACGTATTCACCAATGTGTGGAGTACTTGAATAAGATAGGACAACTGTTTACAGAGACTTCGTTCCTTCTCTCTTAAATTATTATTACCTGTTTGGATATCGCAATTGGTTTTTCTATTAAATACAAATGCTACCTTAACGTTTTTAACTGGCCATTTTGCATTCCTACTTACAGATTTCGTCGGCTGTTCCTTCATGTGCTCGAACTATGATATCTTCGGCTTTTAAGCGCAACAACAACCAAGAAGCATTGTTTAATTTTTCCTTTATGTGATCGTTTAACGCGTTATAGATTTGCATGAATGTTGCTTCACGTATAATTTTATATTGTTCGTTCGATGTGAGTTCGCTCTGTTTTCGTACAGAGACAATGGTAAGAGACGTCACAGCATAGAGAAAAAGGTGAAAAGAAACTTTCAAAGTTGTTACTCACATCATCGATAGCACCAACTTTTTCACATAGTTTCAGGCAGATTTCATTCAATATTTCTCCGTACTCTTGCGTATATTCTTCTAAGCGTAACAAAAGCGGAATTGCAACAGAAACGATTGAACTTTCAACTTCTTTTGTTTGAGCAATTTCTTTGACGCACTTGAATACCTTTTTTATCAAATACGAAACGAAAGTAATAATGATAGTAATAATAATGCTAATATTTACAAAGAACGAAACTTCGATGGGATACACATCGCATAATTAATCGATATACCAACTTTTTCACCGTTGCAGTTTGCGAAATTGATTTTATAGGCGAACTGTTCTATAACTTGTAACAGAAGAAATGGTATTTTCTTACTCGCGGTGTCACTTGTTTCTTCAGCGAGTGATTCTATAAAATAAACGTTTAACGAGGAAATAACTTGTTGCAGTTGAAAATTAACGTCCTTTGATACAGAATCCTTCTTCGTTTGTGACTGTACTACAGTATTAATAAATAAGCATTTTAAAGTAACAAACATTCGTCAAATAATGTGGGAAATTGTAACATCGATACGTTAACGTTACCTACACATCGTCTCGAGAAATCGTGGCAACTCCGATGGGACTAATGTACATATACAATGAGAAATCTCCTTGTAGCATTGCAAAGCCGATACTGCTACCTGTTCGTCGTTTTTTACCGCATCAGTTAGATTCAATAAGAAGTATTTGTAAAGCAACCTACACAACAAGCGTACGACAAGATGTTCAAATATCAGGATGTACAGTAAATTCTTTTTTCGATTCAAAGTATGGAAGATTATGCATAGGCATTCCTTTTTTTTTTACTTACCCTCCGATCTCAATATAGATGTCAATGTACAGATTCGATTGGCCTCGACACGTATCCACCATTACCGACTTCGTTTTTTGTAAAAGTTGTTCGCATATGTGGAATATGTAACAACAAAAATTACCGTTTTCGCGAAGCATGACATTTCTGTTTTGACCCGTGTCAGGCCGTCTGCTTGTATGAAAATTCTATGTTTTATTATACGTATACTATGTTTTAAATAATAATTACCTTACCGCAGTAACACCATACTCACGAGTATAAAAGCGATAAACATTGATATATCGTATCCAAATCCATAACAGTACTTGGTATTTTAATATTACTTGATCTAATAAGTTTTTTTGTTGTATTGTTTACATCTTTATCCTTCTTAGCCTTAGCACCGTCTATTTTTTTCGTTTTTATCGATTGCTGTCAACAATACCGGAATGGACACTTTAGCTTTATACGCACTGTGAATGGAAAAGAGGTGATTCAGCAAGGTTGTGCCTTGTACTTTACCATTTTAATAAAGTCCACCGAACGGGAATATCCTCTAAACAAATCTTCAACGCTGTAACAAATATCTGAATTCTCTCTCAAAGACCATTCTCCTATTCGAAACGCTATTAAAGCCTCATAAATTGTAATTGTTATGCTAAGATTTTTCAATTTGATCTGAGATTTTGAAAAATCCTCAAAGAGATCCGTTCCTCGTCCCTACAAAAGTGTAATTGACAGATAATACATATGTATGTATATGAAGCATAACTAACGTTGCTTTTATTACCAGATTTAAATGTTCCAATTCAGTAGCTGCCATACGTCTGCACAGCGATTCCAAAACAGTGTGCAACTTATCAGATACATTTGACTTCCTCGAAATTTTACCCATATATATCTTTTGTATTGCAAATATCAGCTCTGCTATAGGTTCTTTTAAAATCACCTCCATACCTTCAATGTCTGCACACAATTCAAATTTTACAGGTGGCAAGACATTATTGTCTTCCTCGAGATAAAGACTCAAATGCGAAAGAAGCATATCCAACACGATTTCTGTTATTTCAGGATTTCTTGTAACAGCACCGTACAAGCCTGGGAACGTATTATCTGCTATAATAGTTTTCAGATTTTAAGTATAGTATAGAAAATAGGCATGAAATTCTTTTTATGAACCTTCGTATAAGTGTAGTCTAACTTGAAACTCGTAAGTTAGGCTTTTCTTTAATATATCTAGTATTTCAAAACATAAAGTTTTATTCATTTCGGTGATTGACTTCTCTTGTTGCGTATTATGTTCGAGAGTCACCTAAATGACACGATCAATAATTACTGTGATGATGATAACTTTACCAGCGAAATGTACATACATGTGTATGCATGTATGTATACCTGCGTTAACGTTGATCTGGCACTGGAGCTAATCGCATACGCTGAAGAACCGCTGCGTTGACTAAGTCTAAAGCTGCCCAAAGAATGCATTTTCGAGTATTTTAACATGTCGAGAAATCCAGTAACCGCCATTTGACGTTTTGATACACCTTTCCTGTAAAGAGCTTTTCTCAAAGTCAGAAAAAGATTTTCTCGTATATTAGGCGATACGTGCATCAATGGAAGAATTGCGTGCAAAACTTGATCAGCTGCTGCAGTAGGTAAAAGCAATAATCGTTCGAGAAGAGTCATAATCCAAACTTGATGATCCAAAACGATTACTGATAATTCACGACAAGCGTATTTTAAACAATCTAAAACATTTGTTTGTTCAAACCGATTGGACGATATTACATTTATCGGTCGGTTCGTGTCCTGGAATTCATGATTTGTTACCTGTATAATGCATCGTTGGTATTCCACCAACAACGATTTTATCAACCAACTCTTGCAATACAATGGCAACTGTGTCGTGTCGTTTTTTAATTATTTCTCGAATAATTTCTGTTCCCGTGTACCACACAACCGTCGTATTATTTTTCAGCTTTTGATCTGTACTCATTAACATGAAGGCCAGATCTATTAAACCCTTCAACACCATATGACGATCCTTGTTGCTGTAAGTGTAAGAAACAGTAGAATACGAATAGAGATGCGAAAGAAATGATAGATTGTTACCCACCTGGTGTCAATGATTCGTCGAATAATATTAATAATATTGATCTCAGAGGGTAAAAGTTGTCTAAGCCAAGCATTATTTTGTCTCTTTTCTTTGTCTAGACTATTGTTGATAATAGCAGCTTTCAATATTTCAAAAATCTAAAAGATACATCCTTTATGATTAGAACAAAACAAACAAAGTACACAAGTTTTTAAATAGCATAAAAACGTTTCTATTTATTGGAGTTACCAGTACCTGATCTGCGTATATACCAAACACAGACATTAGTACAGCAAGCATGAATGGTTGTAAGATGTATTCAGATGTGTAAGACACGGATTTAAGATAACGAATAAAATCCTTCAAATTCTCATGATTTAGTTGCACGTGCTGATACACATGATACAACACAGTGCTCTCTACATCCTTGACCTCTTTTATACTGACTGTGCCTATGTGAAGAGATTGAAATGAAATAAAAACTTAAAAATCTACTACAGAGAACTGCAGATTTTATAGATTATGTACCAACGTCTTCTAAGCTGTCCCTCTCTTCATTAGAAATTGCTTTCTGGTAACAGTACTCAAAATATTTACACAGCATATGTAAAAGGTACTGATTATCGTGATCTCTGCACAATTTTAGGGCTTGATAAACAAAAGGTGGCACTTGGCTAAGAGATAGCTCAGGCAAAGAATGACACAACGTTTTTATGACAACTCTGCGATCAGCTTTATCTAGAGCCATATCCCTTTACACAGAAATAGTCAATGAACAGCTTACATCGAATTGAAATATCTTTAAATATAAAATTATTTACCCAAACATTTTTGCTAATGATGGTAGATTGTCAATGTTCCATTGATAATTGCATATTGATTTGACAATCAATGATTTATACTCGGTTCCAGAGACTTCTGCATCCCTGTAAACAATATACTTCTCATCTTTCAGTGCTTCAAGTAGCACAGGTAACAAATCTTTCCACCTGGTAAAAAGTGATGGCGTTGTGAAGTTGGTACTGCTATATTTCACAAAATAAAGTAATTATAAGAAATGGAAGTTAATTTACCACTGTAATAAATCATTGTTGTCATCATGAATACAAGTTAGAGAAAAATCGACGAGTTTCAGGAGATGCTGCTTCGAATACTTTGGAAAATCGAGAATTACTCGATTTACGATCGAATCTACGTGTATTGTGGGTATTTTAGTTGTTCCTAAAATTCGTAAAGTAGACTCAACCAACATACGTCGTTTTAATTGACCGGCTTCGGAATCTGAAAATGCTTGGAAAATATCGTCCAGTATCTTTGGCGCATCTGCTTTACAGATGCTGCTCCGTATTATTTCTGCAAGCTGTTCAGATGTCTCTATTAATTGAAATATCTCTTATTATTAATCCAATCATCAATATAAGTTATTGTTACCTCTTCTACATTCAAATCTCGAACAAATGTCCTTAATTCTATTTGCTCGTCACGATCTCGTAAATTTTGAAATTGCTGATACATACTTCGACAATTAGAACAGGGTTTACACCACTATCGAGATACAGGACAAGAGAAGAAGTATTATTTTTCATGGAAAATACCGGTAATACGTAATTTTCACGTATTTGCAACGAAAAAATATCGTTGCACAAGGTACTTACACTGACGATGAACTCGTAAGTACTTACCAACTCCAAACTCCAATCAACGCGTATACAGAATTTTCAAGAGAAATTGATAGAAATAGAAAGTGATGAAAAGTGATAGAAAGCATTTATATATGCACATATGTGTTGAACACACGCCATGAAAGGATTTATATTTTATGGCTTTTATGTTATAACTCGGCTTCTGCTAGGGAAAAAAGTGTAGTGGCCAGTAGTGGCGTAACAGTGGCGTAAGGTCTCACTGCGTTATATGGACAGCATTGGTCTAGATGAAGCATTCGATTTGTAGCTTAAAGAACATAGATTAATCCCCTGTCATTGACAATAACAATAAACGACTAGAACGCAGTTAAAATCGCATTTAATCGCTGTTTATCAATATTTTTTTGACCGGTGGCGCCACCCGAGGCTATTCGCTCAAACTGCTAGCGAAATCATACCGACAGGTGAGTGAAAATTCCTAGTGATGGAAAAATGCGAATATCTCAGTAATTAAACGGTTAATGTAAAGGTTGCTAGTCTTAAACTATTCCCTATGATTTAATGCATCGACCGAATGCAGCAAAACGCCATAATTAGACAAATTATTCGTACCAGAGTTGATATGTATATTTGCTGTGTTGACAGAAATAATTCTTCCGTTTATGAGGTTCTGAGGTATTGAGTCGATGCACGGGATCGTTAGGAGTCATTTGAATCCAACTGCGTTCATTTTAAGCGCCTAATTATTAAGATATTCGCATTTTTTGATGAATAGGAATTTTCACTGACCTGTCGGTATGATTTGGCTAGCAGTTTGCGTGAATTGCCAGGGGTGGCGCCACCGGTCGAAAAAAAGTGGTAATCCGCGATTAAATGCGATTTTAAGTGTTCTGATCATTTACTGTGATTGCCAATGACAGGAAATCAATCTACGTTCTTTCAGCTACAAATTGAGTGCTTTAACTAAACGAAAGGTATCCGTATAACGGTGTACGAGCTGTCCAAAGTGAACTTACCGTGGTACGCATGACGAGATACAGTGTCAACCGTTGCAAATAAAGTGTGATTTTAACAGTGTTCTGGTCGTTTATTGTTATTGCCACTGACAGGAGATTAATCTACGTTCTTTCAGCTACAAGTTGAGTGCTTGTCCAAGACGAATCAGCCGTTATAGGGTACTATTCTACATTCTTTAAACTTCGAATGTAATGCATGACGAAGAAAAGTGTTGCCTGTTTAGTGGTTATGTGATTGCAACAGATTTCGATCGGATATACACTGCTAAACGAGCATCAGTTTTCCTCGTCATGGATTACAATCGAAGTTTAAAAAACGTAGATTACTATTCTCTAACGGCTGGAGACCAGTAATCGCAAGAACATTGTTAAAATCGCATTTGTTTGCAACGGTTGACACTGAATCTCGCCATGCGTACCCCGTTTAGTTCACTTTAAATAGCTTTTCCAACGTTCTATGGACAAGTTCCGTCTTGATCATGCATTCAGTTTGAAGCTAAAAGAACGTAGATTAATCTCCTGTCATTGAAAATAACAATAAAGAACCAGAACAATGTTAAAATCGCATTTAATCGCGGAATACCACTACTTTTTTGTTAGTGGTACTCCGCAATTAAATGCGATTTTAACAGTGTTCTGGTCATTTATTGTTATTGTCAATTACAGGGGAATAATCTACATTCTTTAAGCTACACGTTGAGTGCTTGGTCGAGACAAATGCTTCCTGTATAACGCTGTGAGACCTGTCCAAATATGAAGTAACCAGGAGTGTGCTTGACGGGACCCAGAGACAACAGTTGCAAACATTTGTGTATGATTTTAACAATGTTCTTGTGACTACTGTTTCTCAAGGAATAAATTTGCTTAATCTACCTTTTTTTAAACTTCAAATTTTGTGTTCGGTGAAGCCGACAGCTGTCCGTAATGTGTGACCATAGAGAAGAATTACTCCAGCGGTAGTTCTGTTCTTCGGTCTCGCTTCATCCCTACCATACGACCGCACAGTCTATTATATGTATATGCCTATGCTCCTACCACTTGGTATTGAGAATTACATCTATTACATCACATAATTATATACGCTCAACACGAAAAGGTATAGCAGTGGCGACGTCTACCGAGGGGCAAATTGATTGAATTGGCTCGTAGCTTGAGCGTTTTGCCGTAGATGGCATTACAATTCTTTTCTACTTCATTGTTAATTTATGACATATTAACCATAACTGAATAAAGTAAAATAAAAAACTGGGAATAATTGTATTCGAGCATGCTTTATATAATTTCAAGCCGTTTGCGACAAGTATGTACATATGTAAAGTTTTTTCTTGTAGACAGAAGACAAAGACGAGGCGGTTTGAATGCATGCAGCAATTCGGCACATCGGTATTTCGAGCAGAAATTCGACAGCAGGGTGATTGGACAAAGTAAATGGGTCAGGGTCGTTTCTTGCCGCGGCAGGACCGGTCGACGGCTTCGAATTCTTAGTCCAAGGTCGGAGGGGATAAGTCGACGATTTTATTAAGAGCAGAAAAAAAAGAGGATCGGGCGTGGTAGAGTAAAACGTTGGAACAATTACGCGTGTCCTTACGGCGAAAGTTTTTAGTAACCGGACCGAAACACACCCTTGTACCCCACCTGACTCCAGTCGGGTCGTTCGCGGTATATAAGATTTCGGCGGTACAAAGATCGGCATGCATTCGCTTTTGTACATTGTTTGAAGAATCACCGATCGTTTCTCACCGACCCGCAATGTTCTCCAAAGTAAGTATTGCTAATTGTAGGAATGAAAGTAAATTATCATGTTGGTGGACTTCGAGGGTACACGTTACCAAAGGGAATACATATATGTATATCCATTTATCTGTGTTTATACACGTATGTATCTACGTGTATGTGTGGAAAAATGTGTGCGGACAAAATAAAGAACGGTCTTTTGTTCATAGAATTAAATCGACGTATGTACATACGTATATATTGTATATTGTATATTGTATATTGTATATTGTATATTGTATATTGTATATTGTATATTGTATATGTATAAATAAGCCCCCTTGTCTGTTTTCAGATCGTAATACTCGCCTGCGTTTTGGCAATGACCAACGCCGGGTATTTGGGAACGGCTGCCACTGGAGAATATACTTTAACCACCGCAGCTTTGACATCGACATCGGACAACATCCTTCGTAGCACAGGAAATCTAGCGCAGATCGCGACCCAGTCGAAAACGATTTCTACACCGTTCTCTAGTAGCAGCAAATCCGATATTCGCGTGACGAACCCGGCCATCTATGCGCACGCTGCACCAGTAGTATACGCTGCGACACACACAGCACCCCTGGCTACACCTTTGGCCACGTCCTCGATAGCTAGTGCTCATCCGGGCTCGCTCCTCGGTGTAGCCTACTCACCGGCAGTTGCTGTTTCGCATATGGTTTACAGCAGTCCCATCGGCATCTCCTACTCCTGGTAATCGGACTCGGTATTCTTGTTATAATTTCACGGGTTCATTAAGAAACGCCGTTACTGTTTCTAATTCTGTGAAATACAGTACCTATAGATTAAACGTGTACCCGCTCAATCAATTGTTGCTTTTATTTATCCTCCGTTTCGATCGATGAGACGACAGGACGTTCTTTTTCTTACTCTCTATGGTTTTTACAAGTGTATGTATGTATGTATGTATGTATGTATGTATGTATGTATGTATGTATGTATGTATGTATACCACCAATGCAAATAATAATAAGGTTTCTGCAAGCAATAACGGGATAAGGTATCGTAACGATTCTATATTTCATCGATATTCGATTATTACATTCTGTGACAAGTAGTTTCTTTGCGTTGCAGTAACGATTCTTTCATAGCAAATATAGGGACGTGATCGATAGCGCCGAAGAATGAAGCTTCCGCCAAGCTCTCTTCGATAAATCCGTGGCCGTTCTCCGAATAGGTATGGTTCTTAGAGAACCTTGACTGCCCCTAAACCCCCTAAACCCCCTAAACCCCCTAAACCGTTCAAGGTTAAACCGTTCAGTCCCAGAGGGGCCGCTGCTATGCCGGTAGTTAAAGTCGGTCCAGCTGCGACCGCGGTTGTCAGCCCGGGTGCGAGAAGTGCCGTGGCCACTGGAGCTGAAATCCCATCATTGTAGAGATCATCGTGGTTGGATCCATACGTAAAGGTGGACCGAGAAAAGAAAAATTGCTCGAGTCATTAACGGAAAAACGTTAAATCGTGGTCTATCTCTAGTTGAATTTCAATCTAATATGTAATAAGTAAAACGTGAACCATGTTGTGATAACTCGGCTAGTCTAATATACACACCCACCCACGCACATATGACCCGAAGCGAGGTGGCTCAACGATTAACGGTCATGGTGATAAAAAACATTTAATGTGGAAAGCTAGAGAAGATTGAAAAAGAAGAAGAAGAAGAGGGAGAAGAACTAATGAGAAAAGCGGACTAAGATATCGGCGGTTCTAATGCGTAAAGGATCCGTAAAGGATGCGTAGGTCGGCAAACGATTCTCAAGAGTCCGAGTTTCTTGAAGACGCGTTTTCGTTCGACATCGCGAATACAAGAATACAACAGGGACAAGAGAAAACGACAACTCCACGATACATAACAGGAAAACCGGTACTTTGCGGTAGTAAGTGGGATAAGCTGCGGATTAGGTTGACAGCAATCTAGCGGCACCCTGCGATCAGGTGTACCTGCGAGAGCAGTATTTGCGAGTGTGACTACAGGCGTCACGATTCCTGGATTGTTAACGCGCACATCCGCTTTCCTGACGCTACTGAATGGCGTATCTACGCTCTTCGAGTAGGCTGATACGGCACCTAAGTTACCGATACCCCGTATCACGTTAGAGGTGGACGTCGCGATAGCCGGTACCGCAACCGTCGCTCCGGACAGACCAAGGGCTGCTGCTGTAGCCGGCTGCACCGCGACCGCTGCGGGCGCAGTCGCTGCGAGCAAACCACCGCCGATCACGCCTGCCTGCCCAACCGCCAGCAAGCAACCGCAGATAACCAAGAACTGAAAAAACATACACAAAATATCTATAATAACATGTGTACACATATACATACATACATATATAATAGTATACAGTATACGGTATAAATATCATATATGTATGTGTACGGAATCGTTTGTATTTTCTTTCTCGATCTAATACACGTGTTTCAAGTTCAATTTCGTTCGACTTTTACTCGTTTCTTCTCCGCTTTCCGACTTCGCGTCGTTTTGCAGAGTCTACGAAAGGGAAAATAAGAATCGAAATTTCTCGTTAGTTTCCCAGTGAAGTAAAACAAAAGAACGGAGAAAAGAAAGAAAAACACGAAACGGTTCTTCTACTCACCCTAAACATGATTAAAGGTTTATGCAGATTCTCTCTTTCACCGTTCGGAAGTAAGGCGTAGAACGAATTGAATGCTTATGGTAAATCTGACAGTCTATTTATACGCGACCGTTAGTAAGCCTATCTATCTATGTATATGACTTGAAATATTTTTTTACCGAAAACGCGGTATCGAGTGTCCGCTGACCAAAGACTAACGCACAGACGGTTTACAGCGAACCGATATTGCGTCACTAACGCGGTAGAGTCGAAGAGTATTCAATACCGAATTGCTAAACTCGAGCAACTTGCGTTCAATGAAAGAAAACATTTTCCGACACGTGACGCGCCCGTTAATTTTCATTGTGGGTATTCTATTGTAATATAAAATATAAAATATAAAATATAAAATATAAACGGATGATGATTGACATCAAGACTTTGTACATACATACATACATGTATATACATACATATGTATCTATACATATACGTTATGGGTTGTGGATAATGGACATAGGTACATACAAGTTCGCACAGGACGAAGAAAGAGAAGAGTACCGTGAAACAATGTTCAACTGTAACTTGGAGAAAAAAGTATACATATACATATCTACATACATATTATGTGTGAACGTACACCGCACCAAGGAGGTTGGAGGCGGGTTTAAGAACAGAAAGACATTTGCGCAATTGATCAATGCGAGTGTATCTATCTCAAATTGCAGCCAATGTATCTTGTTCTTGAGATCAGTTATAGGATTACGATGTAGTTAACATAAAGTACGAACGTTCAAGAATTGGAGGATGCACTTTTCATCATAGACCTTACTTTTGTTACAGTACCAAACACCATTTTCGAGACTGTTATGATTCTGCGGCTTTCACCGGAATTCAGATACCTATCTCTTACACTTTCTTAAACTCGAAACGAGTTAGTGTTTATAGTTTCATTGTAAAATCATTTGTAACAATTCTTTCAAAACCTTACAATAATAATCGTCACGCTCGATTCAACAATATTAGCGAGAAATACATATTTAGAGTATGTACTGTGCTGTGTCGGTAAGCATTTAATAATCTTTCTAAGTAAATCTTTAGTAATTGTCCGATCTTCGTCGTAAGGAAAAAACGGTTTCAGATTTCAGGTTTCAGGTATGATAGTAGGTACTCCATACGCGACACACTTCGAAGCAATATTCTTAGAAAAGAACTTTTGGGCATATGAAAATATCGACCTTAGAATCATCGTGTTTAGTCAACTTCATCGAACCGACTTGCAATATTATACTTACTAAGCGGACTATGAAACATTGGGACTTTATCGCTATTTACGAATAACTTGAACGCAACTGAAATGATAAAAATTTACTAAAGAGCCTTCATTAAGGTCGTCAGCTGAGAAATGCTTTGAATCTAGATGCAAAAAAAAAGAAGAAAAAAGTGGGGACAAAGGATGGATGTGATTGTAAAGTGAATGTAAACGAGAACAAGAATGAGAACGGGAACGCGAAGACCGAGGGGAGCCGTCGCGTCGCGTTGGTTGCACGAATTACGCAATCGACATTGGCAAAGTGTGTAACAGGGTAAGCATGGCCAAGAACTTCATGATTTCGTAAGCTTGCCCCGAAGGCAACAGAACGCGTTATACTTTGTTAAATTGCTATCGGGTTTGTTTCATTTCGTGATTGAGTTTCTAGACGCTGAGCTACCAGCTACCAGCTATCCACCTTCCTTCCAAGCTGCAAGGTATCGCTGCATACATTCACTGTTTCGAAGTGTAGAAAAAAACTCCTGGACATAAGTATTGTGAAATTATTACAGCTGTTGCTGGTAATAAACGTGTAGGCACAAGGTTTCAGTAAATTCGGTTCATGCCGACAAATATAATACAAAACTACACACTTTGCTGGTGTGAGAGACAGACTCGTTTGATTTTATTACCTTCCCAGAACAATTAATACAATACACGAATCGTAAGTTTCTGCGACTCATAACCATGGATTCTTTCGTTTTCAGGTTCACGGAACAGTGACTCCTGGATTCGTCGGTTCCAGCATAGAGGAAACTACTACTACTAAGACAACACATGTATTCTCACGGATTTGATGTTTGCACTTGATTCTGTACTTTATTTGCAAATTTCATTTTTCTTGCCGCAACTAATTAATCGTTAATGTTTTACAACTTTCGAAAAACCAACAGTTAAGTACACTACCATGAAAATGATCGTTCGATTTCGAGTCTCATGTTCGTCGACTCCTGAATTTCAGTGGCACGATTAACACGACATTACCTCAACGATGCCGACGAAACATACATACGTGTGTAACATTTCTCCAACTACAATCTCTAGCTGAAACTACAGGACATGGAAGAAGGTATGTGACTATACGAGTTTGTAGAATATTAAGATATTTTATGTTTTCTCTAACCACTCGTGCCTTATAAACGTAGTCGATCCATACAATACGATGTCCTTCTTCTTCTTCTTTTTCTTGTTTCATCTTCTAGAAAATTCTAGAAGTATTCCGAATGAAACAATTAACTAGGGGATGTGATCGATGGGGGTTATCTAAATGAAAAACGATTGCTTCCTTTCCTCCCTCCTCCGAAATATCGAAAAGCGGCGTTTTAAAAGAGCAGTAGTTAGTTTCAGCCCATCTATTGTACAATATAATGCTTACGAATGTCGAAAACGTCTATCAAAATGGGTTTTCGCACGATAAATATGTTTCAAGTAACGACACAACAACTAAAGGCACAATAAAAGAATACATTATTGCTAATTATTAACTACGATAAATGTAAAGTAAACACAAAACATACGTTTGTCTCGAAAGACTAGCCACAAATACACCATCGAGGACAGCTCGTGAGTATACGAAAAGATTTCTTTCGTTTGTTCGTGTTGTCCCGTAAGCAAATTCATATAAAGAGAGAAAAAGAAGAATAGAGACGTGAATGCACTGCGTTTGTATGCTCGTTTACATGGATGTTGGAGACCAAAAGTTCATTTCTCGTAATTCGGATGGCTTTGCTTGGAAAACGTTCGAGTAGACAGCTGATTTTTCAGCAACAGATTGTTCCTCGGCTCCTACGTACGTAAGATTCTGAGACGATATAGATTTTTTTCGGTTTAGAAGTCTGGATGGTGGCGGCGGCGATGCGTCGATGCTAGATTCGTCCTCTTCGTCGATCTTTGCGGTAACAATTTCCCTAGACTGTCCCAATATGCTCGCCAAGATCCAGCCTCCTTGATACTTTTCCCGATCAGGGAAAAACGGACCTGTAAAGTATCGATTCGAGCGTCGACGGGCTTTCGGTGAACTGTCGGGACTTCCGGCGGGTGAAGTCAGTGGGGTGGCTGGTAATGATTTACTGCCTTTTTTCGGCTGACTCTCGGCCTGTTCAGCCGTAAACGTTTTCTGGAACTTGTTAGACATTATCTGATTGGCTACGAGAACGATCGATTTTCCGCAAAGTGCTGGTTCGCTGTGAAATCCATCATCTACACCTTGAGACTTGGCTTTTGCGTTCCCGATTGATGATGCCTTTGAATTCTGTTTGATCTCGTTTCCTAGAACCACCAAGAAAAAACTTGAGACTTCACTGTCGCGTCAATGTGACTTATGTGTATGCAGACTTGGTACTTGGGCAACGCGTTTATAGGAACTGTCGGATATGTGTGAGATTGAAGGGTAAATCCTACATGACAATGATACCTTTGTTAGCTGCCGAAGTCGGTACAAACGGTTGGCACGGCAACGGATGCTTACTGAAGTCGATCTCCTGGTTATTTCTTTTTCCGTTGGAAACAAGTTGTTGCACCGGTTTCACGTGGCTCACGGACGATTCGATATTCTGTTCACCGAACACCTTGTCGATCGGTCGAAATTCTTGCGAAACAGGCAACTGGTTCTGTGTCTTTGGATATCGTACATAAAAAAAGCTGTCGTCGTGAGATGGCGGGCTGAACGTACTGTCATCGAAATCGAATCTGTAGAAAGGAGAAGGGGTGACAGGAAAACAAGATAAATCCAATTAGAATATAACGAGTGTTTGTTGCGTAAACGATGAACAGGTGAAACAGTGACTTGAGACTATGCCGAACGATAGCGTAAATTCTCCGATTACCGTTCCCAAATCGTACCAGTGCGTATACATATACAGATGTCATGTTCTGATGCCTAAATGTTCAGAATGTAGTATGTTGCGCGGCGGGGACACATCGAATAGGAATCGCCTTAGCTGCTCAAAAAAAAAAAAAAAAAAAAAAAAAAAAAAAAAAAAAAAAAAAAAAAAAAAAAAAAAAAAAAAAAAAAAAAAAAAAAAAAAAAAAAAAAAAAAAAAAAAAAAAAAAAAAAAAAAAAAAAGAAAAAAGAAAAAAAAAGACAAGAAAAGACGTTACTCGATTATCAAACTTTCGGATGTCGAGCGCCACGATATACTTTAAAGGCAGTAAAGAAAGAGCAAAGTGAACGCTGCTGTACACCGCAGCATAACCGCGAGGGCGCATCCGTGCGCGTGAACAATCATGGGTCTGAGATCTAAGAATAGCAATCACGAATACCCGCGCAACCAGCTGTTTAGTCACGTTGGCCAAATTCCGCCTGTAAATATTCTGTCGCGTACCCAAGAATACATATACTAAATGAGAAAACAAACGCTCTTTTGTATCGATCTTAAGCGAATCAAAACAATTCGAAGTTCAATCGATGAGTGAATCGGTTATGATCGAGGCCTGTGCTCTAATTCGTTTATGTGGAATTTTATTCTCTAGTCTAGTGGTTCCAAATCTCTGCTACTCGTAATGTCTGGAAAAAAGATACCTATTCTCGATTCTTCCCTTCATCCACTGTGGCAAAGATATTCCACCGCCGAGCGATCTATCTTGCTGTCTGGTCGAACCCATTGCGTAGCTACCGAATTGTTTGATTTCGCGATTCGTTTCGACAGAAGGCGCAAACTTACTTCCTTTCCGATTTGATCGTATGCCTTCGTTAGCTGTTACTTTAGTGCATGAGTTTGTAATATTGTTACGGAATTATTCACTGGGAAGAGTTTCCTAGGAAATTAACCTGCAGGTTGTTCTACCGACCTATAACATAAACAAAACGATGCACGCGTCCGTAACGTGTAACATACATAGATACATACATACATACATACATACATACATACATACATACATACATACATACATACATACATACATATATACATATATACATATACATCTACTCATGCATGCGTAATTGTGTCAAGAATCATGTGACAAATAAAGCTGCGACTCTCGGATAAAATGTCACGGTATTCTATTCTATGTCTTCTGTATGAAAATAAGAATTGAATTTACCGCCCTTTAAAACTGCGATTACTCAGTCACAATTCGGTTGTTCTTTCCAACCTCTGTTATCTTCCTTCTATTGGAATACATTTGTTTGTTTGTGAGATTGTTTCGCGGTCTCGTATTCACTAATTTCATTTCGATTAGATTCGTAGCGTTAAAGTTGTTAAATTCTTTAATGTTTTCACGACAGTAAACCAAATTCCTTAATCGAATTGTTATGTTTCGTTACAGATCGATACTGTGAAGGTACATATTGGTATATATATGTATAGGTATATACATACGAATCAGTATGCCAAGCCAATACGAATCATCGAGAACAAGATGCGCATATACGACGGTAACATACGAGCACGATAAAAAAATAAACAAAGTGAAAAGATGTCGACCAAAGATTATATTTTCATAAACCACTATCGAGTTGCAATTTAATTTCGTATCGAAGAATGATTCCAATGAAAAGAAATTTGAAGCCACGTATGGAAACTACGTAACTTCGTACAGTGTGATGCTTCGGTTTCAGAGTCAAAGTATAAACAAAATATTTTTTTCGTTGAAACGATATATAATACATACGTATATAAAGATTGACTATACATATACTTACTCTATTTTTACGGTGTGTTGAATGCATTCGCGAAATTAATAACCCCATAACTGCGATATTTTTACAGGACCTTGAAAACGGTGACACCGTAACTCCGAAACGATACAATCACCTACCGTCCAGGACGAATGACACAAATTTTGGACATGCGTTACGTCCAGTCGTTTCGTGGTGTTGTGCAGTGTTGTGTCAAATAAAACAGCCTTATCCTTGACGAAAACTTCTTGTTCTCGGGAGAATAAAAAGAAACTAGAAAAATTGGGGGGAAACGAGAAAGAAAACTATTCTGACTCTGATATTTTCACATAAAAATTACCTACAGCGTTTATATCACAAAAATACCAAAATTTATTATTAGTAGGGATTAGAGATCTTTCGGTAAATTGCGACGCGAGTCGAGTTAATTACACCTACGATCAAAATAATTGCATGTCCAATCTCCAATCCATTTTGACAACTCGAGGATTATCGTTACACAGAATGAGAACTCGCTCTTATGTTGTGACTTCCTTTTTTAAAATTCCAACTAATTCCAACTAGAGACCGTAGTGTCCCTAATTCCAACTACCTAGTAAACAGTGGTGAACAGTGGTCAACAGTGGGAACAGTTTAAAAATTTATACAAGTTAGATATACAACGGAGGTTACAATTATTATATTGTGTAAGTACACCCACGAGCAAACTCGGCTTCCACTAGGGGAAAAAGTGACGTACGAGAAGGGCCTTCTACCACTTGGTAAATTTATTTTAAGTACTGAAATAAATGTTAAATTCAGTGATAATTTGGCATTAATTTCAATAATTCTCAATACTATGTGGTAAAAAGCCTTTTCCATACGTCGCTTTTTCCCCTAGTAGAAGCGAGTTTGCTCGCGAGGGTATGTACATTAGTTACCGCTAGCTCGCACCACCGTCACGTTCGATTTACGACACGTGTACACTATTTTTGACGGTCGTTATCCTATCACAAGACTGCGTAGTTAAGTTAATCGTACCCAATCCCGTACCTTTCCGGCGCGTATGGATACTCGTGAAATGTTCTTCATGGTTCTTCCGGTCGTGACCGCGGTAGCGAATCGTTGACGTAAGTCCGTTGAAATCTAAATCGATTCGCATCGAACCTAAATAAACAATTTCACCTGCATATTTCCTATTAGATTTGCTTTAGCTACACCTTCGTGTACGAACGACAATATTCTTTCCGTACTAAAATACAGATAATTGACAATTTGACAACGGTGGATAACCAGTCTGTTGTGATTGTTTGAAGCAATCATGTGATTTTACCGACATTTATATGGAATTCTTGATAGCAAATTATAGTGAACAATTATGTTTTTTGTACAGGAAACCAGCAACATGAAATTCAACCGGCTCGTTACTTCTTCACGCAGAAAAAATCGAAAGAGGCACTTCACGGCACCTTCTCACATTCGTAGAAGATTTATGTCAGCTCCTCTTTCGAAAGAGTTACGACAGAAATACAGTGTTCGCTCTATGCCGATTCGCAAAGATGATGAAGTACAGGTATACTCATTTGAATAATTCAATGGTAGAGTTTTCTAATACTTTGATTCATTAAACATATTTTTCTTTTTCGAAGGTTGTTCGTGGCCACTATAAAGGTCAACAAGTAGGTAAAGTTGTGCAAGTATACAGAAAAAAATTCGTCATATACATAGAAAGAATACAGCGTGAAAAGGCTAACACTGCTAATGTATATGTTGGTATTGACCCATCAAAGGTAAAGATCAATTTCTTGCTTTCTAACTTTGTGAATATATAATTGCATAATTTTTATTGATGATGAACCAAACCATTCACAAAGAATTAGACTCTAAGCTGGATAATTGACCTGACACTGAGGGTTTTCCTCTGTGACAGGAAATTTATCTGGCTTTGTCTTTTTACTGCAGAAAAGTTGGCACTGATATTAATAATTTATGTTAGGTATATCTTTCAATGGTATGTACCGATTGTCGTCTAATTTCAAGTAATTTCCTTATGTAGACGGTTATAGTAAAGCTGAAGATGGACAAAGATCGCAAAAAGATCATTGACAGGCGAAGTAAAGGCAGATTAGCAGCTTTGGGTAAAGACAAAGGAAAATATACAGAGGACTCTACCGCTGCCATGGAAACTTCGTAAATTTAGGTTGTATTTCACTTCTATGTGTCAATAAAAATATTGGTATTCCAATCTTATTTCCTTAGTAAATGATTTTGTATTGTCCTTAACACTGTACAATTGACTATTAATGATTGATCGCAAAAAATAATAATGCAAGTTACATGAAAGCCTGTTATTCTAGTACTTCAAGAATTGTTCAATAATGCAGATTACCATTATTACAATTTTGTTACAGTGCTCTTGAACGATTGTGTTTCATTCAATGATATTCAATTGTTTTCCATAAACTGTAGAATGTTTCATCTTTGTTTCTTTTACATAGTATTTTGTCGATGTTAATTTCAATTGTACTGCCTTCCTCTCTACTGCTCACTGAAACTTTATTTCTTTTCAGATGTTTTAACAATTTTCGTATGTGCTACAATCCTCTTCACTGGTTTAATATTCACTGAAAGGAAAGAGAAGAAAAAACAGTTGTCAACGTGCGAATATTCATATTATGTAAACAAAATAAAACAAGGATCTTGACAACTGATTCATTGTGTACCTGGTTTGTAGGTCTTGCGAGATTTTCCAGTGCTGAACACACAAGACACATGATCCACGTCATGGAATGCAATTCTATATTTTTGTTTTCCAAATTGTAACTTTGTTTTGGTTAAAATTAATTTTTTCCCCAGTAATTGACTTCTAAACACCTAAATTCAAAGTGATGCTGTATTTAATTTTTCACGATAGTATATAGTATATACTACATGCAGCTTACCATGGAAGGTACATCTAGTAGAAAAATATCGTTTTCTTGTACGTCTTTAAGTGTAAAAGAAGGTGATGTGGTTTCATATTTCAAGCCTTCCTTTTCTATCAGTTCTTGTATCTGTAAAAAAGAAAATATGTGACAAAGTAATCAAAACTGTGAAGCAAGATACTTTAATTTTGGAAGAAAAATTTTTGTTTATACATTGCATGGTCTGCTGCATACTGCTGAATTGTTATTTGTGAATTGTATCTGAGTTTCAGTTTTGAAATATTTGTCAGTCTCGTGATCGAGTTGCAACGATTCTTCAAATTTTGTAGTCCATTCAGTATTATTGTCTTCATTATGCCCGGAATATTGGTTTTGCTTCAGAGAGTTTTGAAAATTTTCTTTACATTGGTTTATCGATGAGCATGCCTCTTTCTTGGAGGCATAGTTTGACGTGTGCTCGTATACATTCCCATTTGCTTTTGCTAATATTAACAATTGTGCCAACTCTTTGGTATTGGATGCTTCTTCACCTTTTCTGCAGATGGTATGCATCTCTTGTAGACGAATGTTCTGTTCGTTTCTGTCGCTTTCAGATCTGAAGATTCTACTTTTTTTAAATTTTTTACTCTCATGTATCGATATTGTATGCTTGAACGGAACGTCTTCGTTGTCGCTATCCGATGAGTCTGAAGAGTCTTTCGATCTTTTAAATAGCTTATCTCTCATATTTTCAATATTACAATATTGATCGTCGTCTGAACTAAGACTAGACTCGCTATCTACAATTAAATTTAATCTTTTGAGTTGTTGTAATCGCCTTTTGGACAAACTCGACATACTATCTTCTTTATTGCGTTCGACTTCTATAGACTCCTCTTTCTTATCGCAACTGTTGCTTATTTCTGGTCCTGTACTGTTATCGAATAACAAAGTATTGGATGATACGATTTTGTATTTCTTGCTAACAATTTCTGTGCAAGTAACTTTAGGTTGTAATTTTTGTTTATGTATTTTGTTTTGTTGTTCTTCTTTATCATTTGTACTTTTAGTAGTACACAGTTCTGCGTGTTGATACCCTATGTTACTTGATATATTCTGAGAATCAGATACCAAGCTGTCAGCAGTTGTTACATTTGTTGTTTCAGTTACAGAGTTATTTCTGTGATCCAATGTAGACAGTGTAGGTTCGTTGCTTTCGCAAACTTCCTGTATCTCTTCTTTTCCTTGTACACAAGTTCCTTTTTTATCTTCTGGGAATTCTTCTTCTGTATCCTCATCGATACCTGAATCTTTAGGTTGATTTGTATTATAAATAATTGAAGACTGTATTGGAGGAAAAAACTTGTCACTTTTACCATCATTCATAGAATTTCCTTGAACTTTCATATTTCCATTTGACAAGAGGGTACAACTATGTTTCAAATTTACCTTTGTATTTGTAAAAGGTGTATCAATATCTTGGTTTGCATCATCATGACTCAATATAGGTATTAAGTCTTTTTGTGTATCATTTAACTTTCTTTTCCTCTTAATTGTTTTATAATAATGTTTTATTTCTGAATCCTCATTGATATCGTTAGTTGTAATATTTGCTTTCTCTATTGGCTCATTGTCCTTGCTTTTTATATCTTTGTCTGCATTAATACTAAATTTTGTTTTGTTTGACTCGATCAAATTTTCTGTATTACTTGCTTTCTGGTCTGTTGAGATTATGTATTCTTTGCAAGAAGTAGATTTATCGGAACAGCTTACAAAAGAGTTATAATTCTTGGTTTCATTCGAATCATCTGGTGTTTCCCTTTGAGTTTTTCTTTTTGATAAAAAAGTTAATTTTTTATTTTTCTTCTTAGTAACTCCCTGCCAACCTAATTTTACAATTTTGGAAGATTTATTTTTAGATCGTTGTTTGTTTTTTCTCTCATTTACGATGCCAGACACAATGTCACTTTCAATGATATCAAAGTTTGCTGTACAGAAATCATTTGGACTTACAGTAGATACACATGTTGTATTATCTTTCAAAGACAAGTTGGATTTGTTGAAATCGCTATCATCATTGTCTGTCAAACTTTCGTCATCATCGGTACTGCTATCGTCTGATAGACTTCGAAGAATAGACGTTTTCATTTTAACGTATTGGCTATACGTTTCTAAGTGATGGAGACGTCCAAGCGTATTATTCATAGTTTTAGTCCGACGTCGTAATTTTTGAGATGGTATTAATCGATGTATCATAGAGAGATTTATCATTCTCTTTTTTACAGTATTCGGCACTTTTTGCCAATCAATCTCATCGGTACTCATCATGGATAAATATTTTCTTTATTTTGCGACTAACCTAACTCTTGGCACATTCAAAATGATTCTATTTAAATAATACCATTTGAACAAAACAGCAACAAATAGTGCAGAGGAGACACACGACTTTAACCACTTTGTACAACACACATACACACACACATATATCGTTTACGTTTATAAGAATAACAAACGGGTCTGTTTTTCAAATCACTGAAATACGAACGCACCTGAAGTATGTAGTATATAGCAGAAATTATTCAATGCTTAAAAGCATGATACACGACTAAACGTTACTAATTACGTACATAATATAGCTATTTACAGGATTAGTATATTCTTCGAAACGACTTTTTTTACAATCACACTAAACAGTGTCCAATGCTCAAAATTCACGATCAACAGTTTTTGTACTATTATTATACTATTATTTTAACAATGATATATACAAAATACATGTGAAGAAGTACTATACATTTCTTAACATTAGCAAGATATGTATATAGAAACGATGAAAAGGAAATTTCTCTGAAAAACGTTACGATTTTTGTTATTATAAATATAAAAACATATTTTCATACTTGTAAGAAGAAAATTTTTGGACGGGGAATGTTTCTGATTGAAATATGCATATACATGTATATTTATGATTTGTATACCGGAAGTTTGTGTGAATCGATGGAAACAGGTATTTTACAGGAGAACAATGATGCAAACGAAAGAAAGGCAGAAGTGGAGGGAGTGAAAGGATGGAAGAAGAAGAAGAAGAAAAGGAATAAAGCGACTATCAAAACATTTTATAATTGCTTTGATGTGTTTGGTGGATGAAGTAATTGGCCAATAAGAAGTTTAATGTTTGAAACGTTGTAAAGTATTTAATAGTAGAATAATGTTTAAAACGATGTTTTGATGTTTAGTGATAACGATACGTGTAGTGTGTACAAGAACAAGGTGCAAGAATGCAGAAAGAACGCCGTCGCGATTCATAGTGTAATACGAATATCGACGATTTTACATGAAATTCAATTACTGATTATCAATATACATGACCAGGTAACGAGAAAAAAGATATTTGATTTTCAAACAATCAATTATTTCTTGGAGAAAGAGGAATTCATTGAATCACAATTAGAGGCAAAAATGGTTCAAGATACATTCTGGTATGTGAAACAATTGGTTCGATGATAATTCAATCGGTAGATTTAACGAGTATTAATGAAAAGAAAACTCAAGAATGCATCAGAACCGAAGAAAGAAAAAGCGAGTGAATTACGGCGTAAGAACAGTGGAGGTGTTACGCGGAACGAAGGGGTTCGGTTTTACGATCTCGGGACAGCAACCTTGTATTTTGAGTTGCATCGTTCCAGGGAGTCCAGCAGAAAGTGCAGGTTTACGAGCCGGCGATTATTTGGTATCTGTCAATGGTCACAACGTCAGTAAATTACCTCACGATGACGTTGTGCAGTTAATCGGTCGTTCCAAAGGTATTTTAAAATTACAAATAGCTGAAAATTACTATTCTGATTCTTCGGATGAAGAAGGAGTTGCAACAGTGCGCTGTAAGCCTAAGTATACTCATAAGCCACGAACAAGTAACATGGGGGCATTGCAATTACAATGCAGAGTTGCCAAAGTCGTACGAGATCTACAAAGTGGCATTATGTTTGATATGACAGAGAGAACATCAACCGAAGTACAAGACCAAGAAAACTATTGCAGTTTACATTATCATTGGGATATGTCTAGTCCTCTTCCACCACCGCCGCCTCCAGCGTTACACAAAAGAGATTCTGAAAAAATAGTGCATAGAACAGTTGTTGGTTATCTAGGAACTATTGATATTCCAAATCAATTGCATCCGTCTTGTATGATGCAGGTAATACATACATGTAAAAGAAAAAGCTAAAATTACATTCTATTTCATTGAATTTTATTTGTTATTTCAGGTTTTGAGAAAATGTATAAAACGCTTGAAAGCAGAGAAAAGAAATCCTACTACGGTGCTTTTAACTATACATGTGGCAAATATAAAGCTGACCAATTCGGAAAATCGTGTCATAGCAGAATATCCATCATACAGAATAATTTTTTGCAATTCTTTTTCTGAACAAGATAAACAGTATTTCGGTATACTGACCAAATCTGTTAAGGATAAAGAGAATATTGTCTCAAATTCGTGTCATGTTTTTACAATTTATTATAAATTGATAGATCACACTGTACACTCCAATGCGTGTAATATATTTGGATTTACATGTACCAAGACATCCGAACTGAACGTTTGTCAAGAGTTTCCTGACAGTTGTAACAGCCTCATTGGAGCCATTCAAACTTTGTATATATCAGACTCTGCGAATGCAGATGGGAATTCTTACAATGAAATGCGAAGGCAGCAAGATGCTTCTTCTCCGCAGCCGAGTAACATAAGTACTTCTACAGCACATTCCAGTAACAGTGATTCTGGAATTGGTTTTAAAGATGATTGCACCAGCCGTATGAATAAAAGCATTCCACAAAATGTCATTCGAAGAAGGTGCTACCCAACATCGGAATACAAGGTATGTATGCTGATTACAACATTTCCTTTAATTAATAACACAAATTGCAAGTAGAGATATGTAAAGTGGCTCACGAAAGTATTCAAACGCTTACATTTGGGCCTTAAACAAATGAAATGTATATGTTAGACTGAAGTTGTTGAAGTAGTATTAAAATCAGAATAAGAGAGCTAAATGTCAGGAAGATTGCATTGGTAAGATTAGAAGATAACGATACGACCATGTGTATAGTACTTATGGAATATTTATTTGAAATATGCTGTATCTTGAGATCGTTTCGAGTTTTCGAACGCTTAGAGGTAAACGGTGTTTACCCTTAAGTCGGATTAAGAAGTCGGAAGTCCTCGGTAGAAGCAAACGTAGAATCGTAATTGTATTATAAAAAATGGAAAACTGCAAGGATTCCTGCAAATGATGAATGTAAAGGCTGCCCAAAGAGGTTGACTCATCTAGAAGAAAGCATTATTATTCGCGAAGTAAAAAAGAATCCGGGTACATCAGCTCCAGAACTTGCGGAAATGGTCTCATCAATGTGTCTCGAAAAGTTGTTGACCCGGAACTCTATCTACGACTGTTACGACAAAATAATTTTCACGGTAGTGTTGCAAAAATATAACAGAACATTAATAAGCCGAACAAGAGAAAGAGAATAAATTTTGCTAAAGAGTATATCAATAAAGGCAATCTTTGGATGAAAGCAAATTTAACATTTTTAGTTCGGATGGACGTAATTCGTGCACTTCTAAATATAAAATAGTACAAAAATCTTGTATTTCCGGTACAAGTATTTACACATATTAAAAAAAAGTAGGCCAGTTACAACAGTTTCATTTTCAGCACGGTAATACATACATATGTATGTATGTATGTATGTTTGTTTGTATGTATGTATGTATGTATGTATGTATGTATGTATGTATGTATGTATGTATGTATGTATGTAAGTAATATGAGCAAACGAATACCGAAGCATATTACGATAGCAAAAAAAATGAATACTATATATATATATAATACGTCCCACGTCCTAAACGGTATAGGAGCGTTATCCGGAGGTAGGAGGTTAAATAATAATGAAATACATACTAAAGAATTACTAAAAGAAAAAATTATAGAAAGGCGGAATTCTATTAGTGTAAATGGCAAGGAACAAACTAGTACATAGTATGGAACACCGACTTAGAGATGTTATTACAGCCAAAGGTAGCCTAACTAAATATTAATATAAGATAATATATAAAAATTGTAAATATTAATGCTTGTGTTTGAATACTTTTGTGACCTTTCTATAGAGTATATTTAAAATAAATGTTGTATAACTACTCTACATGAATTTTCTGTTGAAAGTCTCAAAGTAAGCATTCGAATATTTTTATGAGTCGTTGTACATGAATGACAAGATTTTCTCATTTATACTTGATGCTCGGTTCTACTCATTCCAAAAAGCTGTACTCGATAATGTAATCGGCGAAATGATAAATCATATTTTTATAGTTTACTATAATGAGTAATAACGTTGGAAATGAATACAATATATTTTCAGAATGCATGTGCACAGCCTACGAAAATGTACGATAATACAGCTGTTGATTTTCGATTAACAGTTCGAGCTGTATCTAATGCATGTTGGAGTGATAGAAATGAATCAGATGCGTGTAAGGGTAATATGAAATCGTCTCGTGAAAGTGTTATTTTCAATGATTTTTGCAACGGAATAAGCGGATGCACGGCATCGATAGAAAATCATGAGGTGCATTCGGACTCACAAAAGGGAACGGAGAGGGGGAATTTGACCACCTGTCCACCATTACCATTACCATTACCAGCTGCTTCTACAACGAAGCAGGGGTTGGTTAGTTCGTCCGTTGGTTCGCTCGCGTCCGTTTGCACCACCGCGATGCTGCACGGTATAGAAGATCGTGTAGAAACATCCGACGATTCTATATTTAGATCGAAAACCTTACAGACATTTACAAAATTGACAGAATCGGAAGAAACGAATAATCGGGACAAATTTAGTCCAAAAGTATTTTCTAATATTTCCAAGTCGTTAGTGCATAGCTTTGAAGATCTTAAAGCAAGCATGGATTATCCTCGACCCCTGTGCCAAACTTATTCGGATAAATCTGACAATTCACGTCCTTGGGGAAGTTTGCAAGAAATTCGAAATGTTGGAAGCTGTATACAGGATACTTGTCTGGTAAGGTCAATGTATACGTATACATATGTATATTTTTTACAATACTGCATGATAAAATGTGATCAATTAGTTTTCGAATTATTATTCGGTATAAAGTACCGTAAGTGTATCCTAATAAAAGTAGATTTAAAAGGAAAAAAGGAATCTACGTGAGTGAATAATTTACAAATTTGCTTACGCGTGTGCATACGCCGATAAATGAACGAGCTCCAGTAAATTATTTTGGAAAGAGAAGAATTTGCTGTATGTATCAGTGATATGATTGTAAAACAAAGAGCAAAAATTTGAGTAAACAAATTAATGAATTGAAGATATTGAAGTTTTGTGCAAAGGAGTAAACTACTGATGAATAAGACAGGACGGGATTACGGACGAATGAACGAACACGAACGAACACGAACGAACATAGAGAGAGAGAGAGAGAGAGAGAGAGAGAGAGAGAGAGAAGGAAATGAGTACGGGCGAGTATATGCTCGTGGCAGTGTGCACATGAGAGTGACATGTTGAGCTCAAAACGAACGTGACGTTGATTATGATGCTTATGATGCTTACGATGGTACTTATTAAAGTAAAGCGATAGTTAAACAAGTTATTTCGGGGTTTCGTTTAATTGTGCAACGTTTTGCTCGGTAGTGAATCGATTGATGATCGATCATATCGGTTGTGTCGGTGTTCATTGCGTTCGACTGATGACCGCTGCTCGAAAAGCACCGTGCGTGGTATCACAATTGTCAACGGTGCACCGATGCAGTTGGGCGGAGCCCTTGTTAGTACGGAATTGGGGCAATGTTCTCAACACGAATAATATAAGAAAAATCATCGCGTCAACGTGAATAAATCGTTTTGATAGAGATAATTGTTACTGTTTTTTTTGATAAATGGGATCGTGGGGCGGCTATACAAAGGAACACGATCTTCGATCACGACATGGGCACCGAGGTGAAATCGGTACGTGGGGCACAAAACCATCAATATTGGATCGAGACTACGAAGCTATTATTTCATGGTCTATCTTTTTTTTGTTGATTTTCATGCATTGAATTGGCAGATGATAAACATAAATTGAACATATTTCATGGTTTTTTAATTATTTATTGTTTTTTTTTATGTATATGTATAAACGGGTTAGGAAGATAAGGTATGAAGGATATATCATTCCTCACGATATATCGTATTACTGTTTGAGTTCCGTGTAATTGACAGTACGTTATTTGAAGCAGCAACGCAAAAGGCTTTACAATCGCGTTGCGAACGGTCATTGTTAAGTTAAAAGATATGTAGCGAGAAATAATAAGGAAATCTTTCAATCGAGTTACTTGACACGGCGTGTGAAAATATTCTCTATTCCCACGCTCTGTTTCTACCTCTCTTTACACATTTCGGCTTGAAAATCTGTTTACGTGCACATACGATTCATCCTGGTTAGTGTATGGTTGGTGAAAAACATAAAGGAAATTTCTCTGATCTGTTTACGAAGATTATGCAACGATTTAAATGTTTCAAATTATAGACATTTAATAGTTCGATGATCTATATAAATTTGCATTATTCAAACTTACAAAGATAATTTGAACGTGTTAAACACTACGTGCGTAGACATTCCCATAAGAATTCGAAAGTGTATCATCGATATAAAACCAGCAACACTTTTCATGGTAATAATTTGAAAATTTGAAATTTCATTAAAATAATTGGATTACTCTCGGAAGTTTAAAGAGCAGGAACAAGTTGATGACTGTTTACCGTTTAGTAATGTTATATGTATCTCAATTTATTTATCTGACGTGCATAGTAAGATTTTCGTCTATGTGATCGCACACGCGTTTGATTGCGTCCCCCCACACCCCCCATGACTCGTTTAATTGTAGTTAACGACATTGATCGGCAAGGTAAATTTTTTTTTAATGTTTCTTCGGTGGCAGCATGGTAGTACGGAATTGTGCGACAAAAACACCACTTACAAAGGTATACGTGCATGGGCTAGTGGCTTCGAGAAATTGCTGGAAGATCCAAAAGGGTTGCAAACGTTTGCGGTAAGGATAACTTATTTTTATTCCATTTGTTTCATTTGTTTCTTAGTATTGTACTTTACATTTGTTATTCTTTTAAAGGAATTTTTAAAGAAGGAGTTTAGTCATGAGAACATCTATTTTTGGGCTGCCTGTGAGAGATATAAAGATACAAAAGATGTTATCACTCGATGCAAGATGGCCGGTCAAATCTATCAACGTCATTTATCAAATACAGCGGCTGAACCTGTAAACGTTGATAGCCATGCTGCTGGTCAAATAACTCTTGAACTTCTAAACGAAGCTCCTGCTGATTTGTTTCTGCAGGTGCAGCATTCCCACTCCGGATTAGCTCATGTTTATTGTTTCTATAGATTTCTTGTTGTATGATAGCATGGAAAAACAGTAATTAGCGATGTTGTTCCTTTCAGGCTCAAAAGCAAGTTTTTAATTTGATGAAATTTGACAGTTATCCGAGGTTTTTAAGATCAGATCTCTACCATCGTTGCATCGAAACGGGATGTTCTGTAGTTGGTACAGAGGATTGCGATTTAAATCTGACCAATTCGCCTAGTGTAAAATTAAAAAAGAGCCATTCTGATGCCGAAGATCGATGTAGGAAGTCTATACTTCCATGGAATAGGAAGAATAGGTAACCCGCGTATAAGAACACGTAGGGAGGTTATGCGCAAGATATTTACAGATCTAAATGTTTAGTAACGTTTCTTTGTTTTAGATCTAAGTCAAAAGATCGCGGGGAGACCGAATACAATAAAACTCCGAGCAGAAGCGAAACCATTTATAAGAGTTTTACAACTATGAAGAGAGAATCGGAAGGTAATAACAACGACGACAGTATTTCTATATCTAGTAGCAGGTCTTCATTAGCTTCCTGGGATTTGGCCTTGAGACAATCGTTTCACAAACACGTGAGTACCCTCGTACTTTGCGCTAAGTTAATTGTTAATTAAATGCAAACAGAGAGTGATGTCACTTGATAAAAGGATTACGTTAAGAAGCATCATACATATGTATGTATGTATGTTATTACGTGCTGCGAACTTATAGTGACGTATATACATATATGGTACTTTAACTTACAATTCGTTGGAAAGACAGTTTGTAAGCGCAGAAGTGTTTGTTAAATATTAGCGAGAATAGTTGAAGCACGGATAGATGATAATCATAACGATACACTTAGAAGAAAACGATAAATAAATACAACAGATGACACACAATGTGTAATGCGTTATTAAATTCATATTTTATTTCGAATCTACAAAACTGTTGTATGTATGACTTGTAGTCTTTATCGTCCTACGAAGGACAGTCGAACGAATCGAAAGAAGTTCGTACCAAATGTGCCGGGTTGTGTCGGGTTATATTACCCGACGGATCGACTACGGTTGTGCCAACTAGCCAAACGGAGAGTATTAGAGATGTGGTTACACGCCTCCTAGATAAAAGAGCTCTTCGATACTCTAACTATGACGTTCTAATCCTAGCTACGGAAGAGGTTTGTGTTCTCTCGTATTTATTTAACGCCGTATCTACCGAAAATACTATTGAAAACTAACAAAATCAATGTTCTATTAACACGGGTCTGCGCTATTACCGGGGCGTGCTTGCTATCTTCCATCACTTTCCTTCTTCCAGACATATTTCTACTGCCTTATGAGATTTCTCGTTAAACGTACACTTACTTGACGTCTAAGTGTAATAATACTTTGGTAAGGATAACAAGGAAATGGTTAAATGTCGCGGCGAGAGTTACATCATTCAATCATTTATATTATACCTACGTAAAAATTGTCACATATGCATGCCTTCTTTACCACTGCTTTCGTAGTTGTGCACGTTAATATATAATATTAAGCACAGACGGACGGAATGCGGAATTATTCGTTAGGTGTTTTATACGCTACAAGAATGATAATTGCAAAACGTTTTCCCATTTTGTGTTTTTCTTTTTAGACAATAGAGGCGAAATATCCATCGTCCGTACTGGCTGGTCAAGAAGTGGAAGTCGTTCCGACGAAAATATTGAAGGTAGATTTACCTTCGCGACGTGTAATAACTGTGGTTGCGCATAAAGGTAGAACACTTAAAGAAGTGTTGAAACCACTTTTAAATAAGTACGGTTTTAATGTAAATACAATCCAGGTATGGAGTGAAAATCACTGTGTTTGTATGGATTTGCCAGCTATTGATTCTCCAGCCAGATTGACGTTAACGAACGTAAAAGATGAAGGTAATACTAATGTACTTGGTGAATGTGCAGTTAGTTTAACGGCACGCCGTTAGAAGCGTGTAGTATCTCTGTTGCGTTGAAGTGATCGGTTATGAACACATTTATTCTCATACAGATCCTCAGAAAGAGTTGCACACGGTTAAATACACGCACGACGTACCACTTACTCAACCTACGTTGGACGAGATCACTAACAGGGTTTTCGAAGAACTTTTGGTCGGCAAAGGTGCAAGCAAATATCAGTATAACGAAGGCTCGTGTAAGGTAGTAAAAATAATTGCGGAAATGTTCGGTGCTTGGGATTAGATTCCTTTTATTAATCAAGTAGTTTGTTTTGTTTGTATGTAGTCGGATGATCAACGCTCCGAAGGTTCCTCTATTTTACCCAGCAAATTTTTTCTCCGAGATTCTACGATGCATGGAAAGAAAAAGGTATAAAACACACACACGCACACACACACACGCGCGCGCGCGCACGCACACCCACACCCACATACATACATACATATACATACATAGGACACGTTACTACATTATGTTTTTTATATTCGCATGTCGCTTTTCTCATGCGGATAAATCAATTATATCGGTTCTGCTGAAGGGAAAGTCCAAGTGTAGTTTGAACGATAAAGGGAATGTGAACGATTATATGTCTGAAGAAACGGTCAAGCCTCATCCTCCTTTAATAGCGAAGTGGCGGAACGGGGTTAAATTACAATTACCAGGAAAATTTGACGGTGAAGGTGAAGAATAAGTCTGTTAAGTCGAGGACTTTGTTTATAATCACTCTGCTAATGATAGCTGTAATTAATATTGTAAATATACGATGATAGCATGACAATTGATTGACATACGGTACCGCATTTGTCGTTTGCAGATCTGTACGAAGGTTTGAAACGAGCTCAACGGTCCAGACTGGAGGATCAGAGAGGAACGGAGATCAATTTTGAGTTGCCAGATTTTTTAAAGGTAAACGAACAAAATCATATTCTTTGAGAAAGTACCAATACGTATCTTTCCAAGGATACGTCATTTCATGACGCGTACAGATATCTAATTGCGTTTTTAAACATACACATTATTCTTGAAACTTGGACTACACTGCATTTCGACCCTTAAAGCTATGAAATTACTGATCAGAACAAGGAGAACGGTAAGCCAACGGATCGCAACAAGTTTCGAAGACATAGGATAATATCCGTCAGTTCCGAAGCGAACGCCAAGTTTTATGGGTCAATTGAGGAACGGAAAAATTACGACGGACAGGATCAAGACGTTATGGGTCCGTCGAAAAACGGAAATACTAACGAAAAGATTGCTGTAGCTATCACTGGAAAAGAAGCTCTGAGTAAATCTAGGGAGAATTCGATTACTTTAGACGCGTCCTTGATCGATGGAGATCATCGGACCGTTGTAAAGAATGGATCTGCCTCTGAAACAACGGTCGTGGATACCATCAACATGCGAGCAATATCGGTCGTAAAATCATCGAAACCTCCTCCGCTTCCACCAAAACCGAAGAATCTTATTACAAATGTTACGAAAACCGGGTACATCGTATCCACGAAGTCTTTACCAAAATCTACTCGAACCGTTCCACTTAGCCCAACCGAATTGGGTCGTAAAAATATGTTTTAACGCATTGGAAAGAATATGTTTTTTTACTCACCAGGTTTGCACACTTCTTACAAACTGTAGCACTTACTTTGTGCATATCTATTTTTATACAGTCTATTGTGTACATTCGTACGTATATGTGTGTACCAAGGTACATAGAGCGAAAAGTATTTAAGAGGGAATACATATGCAAAGGTCCAGTGCATGCTGCCACCACGACATTGTACTACTATTATACGTGAGTCCGACTGATATCAATCTAGATCTAGAATCTAGAGCCTGAAATTTAAAAAGTGCCTCGATACGAACTCATGTTCGATATATGTAGTCGCTTAGTTTATAAATATTTATGACCCTTTTATGATACAGCTGTTACTCTCCTGGTTATACAGGACATATATTTTATTGTAATTTATAATCGATGAACGTTGTTACGTGTAAATTGAAATAAACATTTTGAAATCTTACGCGAAACAAATAAATTATATAAATTTTGTTTTTCAAGTACGTTCCTTTGTTTTTCTTGCCTATTATTATTATTATTATTATTATCATCATCATCATCATCATCATCATCATCATCATCATCATCTGCTCATTCTGTACATTCTGGTATATCTACGCAGCGTGATAAATAACAATCGTTTGTTTATTATCAATCTGCTGTTACCGACCATGGCATGCCAAAGTTCCTTCATTCTTTTTATTCTTGACAGTTTGTCTTCTTGATGCATACGTAGGTGGCGTTGTATGAACACACTAGTGAAATATTTTACGCGGGCTATCGTGATCGTTTAGCATGACAAGAGTTAATTGAGCTTCCTGTGTTCATAAAAGTTAACGAAGTTTAATTTCTGACAGTTCTTTTTGGCATGTTGATCAGATACATTGAAACGGAACTACCAACAGTATTATCTATAGAAAGTACGTCCTTTAAAGACTGAACCGATAGTGTACTGCGGAAAAGTTGACTAATATCTTCGACACAAAGTAAGTACATACATTGAATAATTTACGATATCGTACCTTAATGGACAATGTTTTATTTAGTTTATCTAATTACGTAGATCGCGTTATTTATTGCGTATTAATATTAAAGTACTTATAAAATTCCTTGTATCGTGTATATTATAAACGTTCTGTTTTTATACACGTGCGAATGCGAGTCATTCCGTATAATAGATGACAATGTGTGTGGCTAAATGGTATCACGTATATGGACGGGATTTCTCTACATATGTATATATGTATGTATGTCATGCTCTGCTGTATCTACGATGTAAGTATGTATGTACATCATACATACGTAGTTGAAAATTATTTAGCGAAAGACTTATTTATTTGAATTATCGTTTGATCCGAATGTAAATTATAAGAGAAATTATGAAAATTGGTGTATTGATTTTGAGATCGTTTGAAAATATGGTATACATATAGCAGTAGGTCGAACGTTTCGTTCCGTCCTCTAAAGTGACAATATCGACGAATTCACAAGGAGGTACAGGATTTTGCGTTCTGTAAACTGTACTAAATATATACATAGGTAACTTTTTTCGATGTTGCGTCGATAGTAAAATACCATTTGTCCTTACCTTCGAGGTTATAACGATCGCGGATGTAGTGGGGGGGGGGGGGGCGGTATACGTGTATATATGTATATCAAGCAATCCGAAGAATAAATTATTAAAACATTACGTGGATTCGTTAAGCGATCGAATTGATTGTACGCACGCACGAGTACACAAAAATAGTGTACCTATGTATATAAAAAATTACCTACTTTTGCAACGGAAAATGTTGACTATTTAATAATAGATTTGGCTTATTTAGTACTAGCGTAACCGTCTCCACTGTTCTTTTTATTTATTTTAGCATTTTATACACTTTCGGTATCTGTGATTCACTTACTTCCCTGACCGAATAGTGTGACGTAAACCGAAAGTTTAATGTTTTTCGCCAATCTTTCGATCCCCTTGCGCTAAATCGTGCCTTAATTTTATTATATTTATCGGTTATCGAGAGAAGCGCGTCGAAAGTATTTCGTCAGTTTAATTAATCAACAAAAATTAAGACTTTTTTTGTAAAAATTCATCTTTTATGAACATGTCTAATCAAGACGCAGGTGCTTTCGTGTAAGCAAGTACGAGAGGGGGGGGGGGAGAGGTAGCAGTTGAAAAATCATAGAAATATTGTGTCTGTATTCACCACCAGGTTAGAATGTTATCGTGTATTGCGGAAATGATAGAAAGTTCGCCGAGTAAGTCCGAAGAAGGAGCATCCACGGTGTACGAGTCGCCAATCACTGGGATTGTTCGTGGATTGATGAAGTCTACGCTCTCGCCGCGGAATCATTTGAATTGTGATGGTACCGAAACCGAAGAAAACCGTCTAAGTAAGTGGAACTTGATTTTCAAATTGTGACAATGAACCAAACTGGGTAATCCTGCGACACATGCAGAATGAACTCCGATGCACAGGTTCAACCATTCTTTACGATAATCGGTAGTAGATAGGTTGCTAGAATTCTCGTTTTGTATACAGTAAAGGTTGAAAATGAAACGAAATAACACTGCGAGTCCGGTTCATCAGCTGCATACGAAAAGCATTGGAAAAATGATTGCGTATGTGTGTGTGGATGTATGTTCGGTAAAGCGAAGTGAAACGGACGAGGAAAAGAAAGGCTGAAGAAAGAAGGAGGTAACGAAGTGACGGTGAAGGGTTTCACGACACGGGGTCTTTGGGATGTTTAGGGTCCCGGGGGTCTCCAGGGTCTCGGGGGTTCTGACGTATTAGCATTTCTCGTAAGGCCGGTAAGGCAGGTCTCGCAACCTGATCTCTAAAGACGATGTTCTCCGTTCGCTAACCTTTAACGGTTATAGACCGAATTACTAATCGATTTTTTTTCAACGCGAATAATTTCCGTCGAAATAGTAGGAACGTCGTTTACTGGCGAAAAACGATCGAACGATGAATCATTTCGTAATACCAATTTTGTTGGCGCAAAAGTAAGAAAAAAATGCGTTAACACAGTACAGCAAACACATCCTATTCTTGATTCCCCTCTGTGGTAATTTACTTGATATCCGTTAGTTGAAAAATTCGTTGAGCGCGTGCCGGCTGCACGACTACTCACCACCCCTAGCTGTTCTACAGGCCGGGCACACAAAATCGGGGGAGAGACTGACTGAGAATGGGAATGCACGAATAAGCGCTATCCATACTTTGAACCGTGTGTCGCAGACATTTGTATAGGTTTGACGTTTGCGAAACATTGTACATATGTATGTACTTGTTTCCATTGCGTTAGGTGTAATTCGAACGATCTGGTTCTTTATAGTTTCCAGCATACACCTATCTTTGCAATGTTCACAGTTGTTCCTTTTTCGTCCGTTCTTCCTTCCTATTTTTCTTGTTTTTCTTTCTTGGTTCTTTTCTGCTGTTGTCTTGTTTGTCTACAAATATCGTTTCAAAAAATAAGGACGAGACGGTTGCGTGGTTACGTTAAGAGTAGATACACGTCGAGACGTTTATCGCGACTTACGATTAGAGAAAGCATCGTGCCGTTGCATTTAGTTAGCAGCTGTGCGACTTGTTCAACGGTGACCTTTGTTTAATCGGCTTTCGTTCTTTATCGTTTACTACGCACCGATGCACGCATGGTCATGCGTTGGTATATGTATGTATACTGTACGCGGTGCATTCCGGTACCTTACGCGGTACACATATTTATTTCGCACGCGTCGAATGCCTGCCGTTTAAATGCTCTCTAAGAGCAAAATCATTGAAACTCCGGACACCCAATAAATGAGCAGGTTTTATTATGGATAATAAGATTTTTTCTTTTATTAACGACACATCGTATTTAAAAGTGCGGGAACTCGAGTAAGAACGTGTTGCCAGTTGGATTAGTATGCGCCGTTAATTTCATCGAATTCTCAAGGGTCTGTAAAACATAAAGGTCATATACATACATACATATGTATATCTGTGGGTCCCGCGTCGAGGGGTGTACGGTGTTTCGGCGATTCCAGGGACAGGAAAAAAAACGTAGGTACATTAATGCGTAGGTACTAGTTATGTAGACTGTGAGTAATGACGTACACACAGGAAAAGAAAACCGTTCAGTACCTCGGTGACTGTGAACCAGTAAAGTTAGTGGTAAACACGATAGATCGGATCATGTTTAAACGATTACAGTGGCGGTATTATTTCTCGTTCGGTGACATCGAGGAGTCGTAAGAGAGAGAAAATGTAAAACGAAAGGACAGTCTATTTATTTTGATACATACGACGTACGGAGAGGCAGAGTGATATTGTTCGTCGGTGGTGTTCGGTCACGGTGGGGTAGGTTGCACCTGTGCATTAAACCAGTGATTATCATGGTTCTTTCGCTTCACAGTTCCGTAATGCTGCTCCTAAATTTCTGTCTGTACCAAGTTGCTTGTAAACGAGTCGTCTAGTTGCTCGTCATCACTTGTGATAACGAACTGGAATGGAAGTAGTGAGGTAAGTCGCTTCGAACAGAAAATTGATGATGCATAAACGATTACGTGTATAGATCATCTGTTTTTTAGTGCTCGTTGGGGAATATCGATCGTCTATGGCACACTATGGAGTCTATGGGGTTGGCAAAGGCGACAGACACGCGTGCCCAGTTCGAGTTGGCTCGGACTCGGCGTTATTCGATCGATACTCGCACCCTTCCGTTACAATTTTGTTCGTTTTCGCGTTAGAAATCTCGATCAGAACGGTGCCAGATAGGATAGGAGGAATATTGTTGACTTTCACAAAAATAAAAAAATGGTGTGTAGACATAACCGTGGAACAGCAAGGATGGGAAATGTCGTATTGGTAATCAAGTACACACACCCGTGTCCCCGTGTTCAGACGACGTCTGCGACAGCGACAGCGGCCGCGCCTTCTTACTTCTTCTTTCTTACTCTATGAAAGCCGATTTCTATCGAGAAAGAAGCGGAAAGCGGAAAGCGAAAAGCGGGAAACGGGAAGTGGTTCAGATGCCTGAACAAGATAGCTGCGGTTACGAACGAGAGTAATTAGACGAGCGAGTACTCGCGCGTGAACGCACGGAAACGATGGGGCGCTAACGTCGCGCTGGTGTCTCCGGTGCTTCTGGTATTCTAAGGGGTCGCGCTACCCCCGGAGGGGAAGGTGAGGGCTCAGGGGGCAGACATATGAGCACACATGGAACGACAGTCGCCACCTGGCACGGCGAGTATACGAACCTACATATGTATATACGTACACAACATTTAGGGTACCCCTGGAAACGTACTGTGACCCCAACCCTCTTGGCTCGTGCCATTATACATTGTCGTAGGATTTTCGATTTTCGCGTTTCAAGCCGAAAGAACGCGTTTCTATGTGGATCTCGTATCGAACGGTTTGCTTAGTCGAACGAAGCAACAACTGTCAGCTCATAACGGAATACAACTCGAGTGTTATTTAAATTACTGCGAGTGAGTCTAATGAGAATCCGGTATAAATGTTTCGTTTCTTCGTTCGAGTTATCATAGCGTAGAGTACATGGACCTTGTGACGACTCTACGTATTCTATTCAATCGAACAGATTTCGCGACACGTCTTCGTCAACGTGCATGTACCTATATGTATGTATCACAGATCATAGCATAGTATATTATCGACGTTGGCGTGTCTAGCCGGTCTAGCGACCTTAATGCACGGTAACAACGATAACTGAGCATTCGCCGTCTTGCACCGGATTCTAATTTCATTCGTATCTGGTTTATCCACGATCGTCTAAACGGGTCCGTTAGTTGTTCCTATTTGTATTTACGGGACAGATTTATACGTCGAAAATAGATTTCAGAGGGCGGTTATTACCAAGTTAATACTCGCACACAAACCGTCGTACCTAACCCAGACCCTCCCTCGACATCCATGCTTCTCCCCTGCTAGTAGGTATATATTTAACCACTGCGTTTTTTATTCGAATCGTCTCGGCATGGCATGGCTCGCCAACGCTAAGCCAACGTCACACCACCGCCACGATCCACGATAACGCCCGTTTCAACGTCGCGTAATTGTCTTTCCGATTCCGGAGAATTCAATTCCATTCCTTTCTTATTATTCCGAAACAGTACGTTCTTTTTTTGACCGATCTCAAGACACGTAAATTTGGTCCCCTAATGCGAGTGAAAGATATGTAGGTACATGGATGAACCGTAAATAAAAAGCCTGAACGCCAAAACCTAAACGAAGGAGGTACATGTATATGCAGTGAGAAATATTGTGATAGAGAAAACGTTGTTGCCTACTTGTCATTCGATTCACAAACGATTCGATGTCGTCTTGTTTTGTTTTTGTTTTTTTTCTCTTTTTTTTTTACGAATGGCCGATCAAAAAAAGCTAACTCGCGTTCAAAAATTTTTTGATCCGTATGTACAAGATCGAAGATACACTAGTAAGAAATACGCAGATCGAACAGCGTAACGTTCGTCACAGAGGCTGCATCAACTTCCTGCGGAAACATTTTACGATGAACGCGACTACGAGGAAAGGCGTTCCGGTTCTGTACCGACCCTCCGTAACTACGTTCGTGTTTTCTCTTAACCTTTCTTTCGAAGCCTCTACATATTGCGTGTAATTTTCGTAATTTTCGTAATTTTCGAAATTTGTCTAATCTCGTTATACATTTACATTTCAGTTTAAATGTGTTCGCCTTATAATACATATACATACGTACGCACGAGTACATTTACGATAACAGATATTTTGCAAGTTGTTTGAAAATATTTGCAAAATCGAATTAGATCTTTTGGTTTTAAAGCCAAGGCCTTGCGAATGGTTCAGGATTGAAAGTAGTTGAGCAACTATGGATGGTAGTCTCGCACATGGGATGCACGTGTACCTACATATGTAGGTACATACATACATACATACCTACGCATACCTACACGTATAACTCGGAATCTGCGTGAAACTTCCATGTGTCGACTTTCTAGCACCGGTATGCTTTCGTTTTTCATGGAATTCGCCAACGAATTTGCATCTTTCTATAATATGCATATTGATGTAGGTCATAGGTATTGGAACTATTGGTACAGAAATACATGTACAGAGACCGGGAATCTTTTATTCGGTATGGATTTAGATTTTTCCAAGTTTAGATGTAACTTTTACCATGACTCAATCATTTTTTACGATTCGTGTCATTCTCTCGTATATTCACGTAAAAATTCTTTACATTTGTTACACTCTGGGTAAAAGTAGCCTTAAAGTGGTCGGCCGTAGATCGACTTGTACATATCTACATATATGTAGACATACATTGTATATGTACGTATGTATACGTAGGTATTATGAAAAGAAACACTTGACGCATTGCATTTAATTCATGTATCGTTTTATATTGAATTTCAGATTCCGTTACTGCGTGCAATCGGCCTGAACGCGGCGTCTTAGGATCGAGGAGTACGAACGAAGGGTAAGCGATTACATCATTTCTGTTTAATATAATTTATTTCGTCTTTATTCGTACAGCGGGAAATCAACGAACAATTGTCTTTTCTGGTTATGTTTGTAGAACGTACTTGGCACGTTCGAACCAATTGTCCGTTTTACATATGCGTGACTTGTGCCCGCGTTTTCCGACTCTAGTCTTTCTTGCTCTCATCTATCTCAGTTTCCCAACTATTGCAACAGCGGTAGAGTTGACTCGGTTAAAGTTGAAAGTTGGGACACGCTAATGAAAAAAAAGGACGGGCCAGGCACAATGAGTATGTGATGTTAGGAAAAGCTGTATTAAACGGTCCAGTAGCGCATCGTTCGTTTCTTGGGAACATCGCTTATCGTTGATTCACGAGTACCGCGATTCCATCTTTGACAAGTTAAAATCAAACGTCGAGATAAAGGAGAAAGAACTGGAAAACCAAATCAACGCGAACAATCCCTGTTTCTCTTGTTGTTTTCTCCCTTCTTCCTTCTTATTTTTCTCGTACGGTTGTTCTCGTAACGGTCGATATGCGCGTACTCGCATCTCTGTCTATTATTTTCTTCGTCGTTCCTTTTACACGACCGTTAAAAAATGGAGCAAAACGATTTGGGCAACCGAGTTCGCCGCATCCTTGCGCGCCGAGAAGAACGCCCACTTTGTTCCCGCATGGAGACAGCATCACGCGCTCGCATAATATACGTGCTCTGCTGTTGCATTTACAATCGTTCAGTATACGTTACGATCACGCACCAACGAATTTTAAACGATCTTGATCGCCGCCGCCGCCACGTTCATTCGGCTCTTCTAGTTTGTTATCAGTCACGTGGAACACCCTCGTTTCTTGTAGCGTTTGACCAGCCGCAATTGAAATGTTTCAATTGAAACTGTTGCGTCATGCGAATACGATAACCTAATAATAATGAGGAAACCCTGCAAGCGTTACCGTGATTATCTCCAAGTAAGCGCGGTTAGGCGCGACAAGCAATTTGGTTTTTCAGGAAGGATGGCAGAAAAAATCAACACAGTTTGTAAGAATACTCGAACGCCATAAGAGACGTATAGACTATAGACGATACGGGACGAGGATCTATGCGGTGGTCTCTCTCGTGAATGCAAATGCTTTGCGTTCCTTCTAAGAAAACCAAGACGAGACAAACGGTTCAAAGAGGGGGAAAGCGAGGGAGAAAAAGGAGGTAAAACAGAGAGAAGTGAAGAGAAAGGGAAGCGGAGGGAAGAGAATGAGCGAGAGAGAGAGAGAGAGAGAGAGAGAGAGAGAGAGCGCAACAGAAAGGCAAAATGGAAGGGGGTGGACGTTAAGGAACCGAAGGCTTCCATTGGAGGAGATTTCCCGCCAATATACCCCACGCTAAGATAACCGGTTTGCCGATGGAGCGACCGGCTTCTCACAAAATGTTTCTCAGCTGATCGTCTGAACGTTCCCGCGTTTTTTCTTGTTTCTTCCGTTCTCTTGCCATCTTACTCGTTCTCATCGAAGCGTTGTTTTCCTTAACGATTACGATTTATCGAGATACGTTCTTTCTGTTCATTTCGTTTACGGTTCGGTATTATCGTCCATACGGAATTGTTGATAAGTGGGAATGTAAGAAAACCAAGACGGAGTAGTACGTAAGTAGTTTGATAGAGACGCCCTGTAACGTATCTGATCTCGATTCGACTGCTATGCAGTTGAATTTATAGGTTGATGTTGGAAGATTTTCGCTAGTCTGTCTAAGAAAAGATATCTCTTACCTGAGATCTTAACAGGAAGACACAAAGGAAAGGACCTGCACATTGTTGTTTTCGTATCTGTCTTGTTCTATTTCTTCGAATGGTCT